GGGCGTGGGACGCGTGTATCAATCGCAGGAAGCAAAACACCGCGTGAAAAGCAGGGCCAACTAACGACTAGATGACAGGGTGAAGAAGGCAAGGAGCGAAGGAAGGAGCTAGTTAGTGACGGTCTGGCTAAGCGTCTGTCTGTCTATGTGCCTGTCTTTGTGGGTTGTTGCCAAAGGGCCAGCCCCAAGGTGAGTTCCAATCAACAAGCAAGAAAACAAGGACGACGGCAAGGGGGAATGTACAATGTAGATCGCGATACAACACAGGGTACAAAACAACAACAAGGTGTGCCGAGTACGTCGCACGGAACCGAGACAAACAAACAAGTAGCGAACAAAATATGAAGAACAGAGATACAGATGCCCTGCAGCCTCTTCCTTCACTTGGAAACGACACACACACTCACAACACCACCGCCACCACAACAACAAACTAGGGCAACAGCGGCGCACGCAGGGTGCGGAATCAACTGACTGGCGTGGTTTTGGCTGGTTGTGGGGTCCGCAAACGCGTGCAGCAGCAGCAGGTCTTGAGGTTCGATTGATGTACAGAGGGAGGGAGGTGATGACGGCGAAGGCCGGCGTGTCACCACCGAGAGAAGGCGGGCGCTTAAGGAGGGCGAATCGAAGAAGGGGAAGAAGGGGAAGAAGGGGAAGAAGGGGAAGTTACGAAGGGAAAACAAGGCAGCAAGGAATGGAAAGGAGAAAAGAAGAGGGGGAACAAACCAAATGGGCAACGCTGGGGAAAGGGTGGTTGCGCGTGCGGGTGGTGTTGGGCTGGTCCGAAACGCGTGTGCGACAAAGGGAAAGGTTTGCACACGCGAACGTCAGCCGTTGGGTCGATCGAGGTTCTCGTGTCACAAGAAACGACGGGTCACCGCAGCAAAGATGATGTCCTGTTGCTCACCAAGTTGTCAAAGCAACAAAGGTGGCGCGGGTGCTTTTCCCCAAGAAGCACCAAGACAAGCGCTGGCGCGAGCCAAGCACAGACCCCCGGAAAGGGCGGCGGGAAGCCTGAATGGAAAAGAATGTGTCACTTGGAGATGAAGGAAGGGAGGAAAAGAGGGAGGAAAAGAAGTTACACAGAGACGGAAAGGAAAGAGAGGGGCTTTTGTTTCAATCCCAACACCCACGCAAAGACACACAACACACCAAGTTGCTGCTGGTGTTATCTAGAGGTGTGCGAGTCTCCAACACCAAGACGCCACACACCCACAAGCAACAACGCAACAGCACGAGGCACGGGGGTGGGTGAAGCAACAACGCCGCCACCACCCAATATGATGGTCGAAAAACCACAGAAGGAGAGAAGGCGAAGAAGGGGTGGCGTGCGTGTGTGTCGTTGGAGCGGTGCGGGGATAGAAAAGACACGACAATTCAACCAAGATACAACTAATAGTCGTTCAGGCGACAATACAGAGGGCACAAAAAACCGCAGACACAAAAGCAGAAGAAAGAAGCAAGAAGCAAACAACCGTTCTCTTGTTCGCTCGGGCACACACACACACACACAGATCGACGACACTTGTTGTGTTTGTATCCCCCAGGCACACATCGACACACACCACACCACACGCACACACACTCACACGCACGTACACAGCAAACACAAGGGACATTATGTCTTCGTTCCCTCCTGCACCTCCTCTGTGGTCTGGTGGCCCTGCGCCCGGTGCTCTTTACTTGAGCACATTGACTGGTCCAGCGTCGACATCTTCCATGTCGACAGGATGGATGTCACAGACGGCGCAACCGCGCGCCCCTCAGCCCCAGGCAGGCGAGGACGCACGGACCCGCACTATGTACGCTTACTGTGTGTGTATAGGTGTGAGTGTGTGCGTGATGTGTGGATGCGTGTGAGTGTGAAGTGCGTGATGTATGTGGTGCATTTGTTTTTGCTTTTGTTTGGTGGACATGAACACGACACTGATTCCGGTTTCGCATGAACGTGTTTTGCACCGCTTGACCGCCCTTGCTGTTCTTGCTGTTCTTGGATATCAACTTTGCTTCTTTTGCAGGCGACCCATTGTCACGGGTACGAGCGTTCTGGGCATCAAGTTTGATGGCGGTGTGGCCATCGCAGCAGATACCCTCGGTGAGAGTGCGGGTGTGCGTGGGTGTGGGGTGCGTCCACGTGTATGTGTGACATGTTTTTGCTTTCGTGTGTGTGTAGGTGTGTGTGTGTGTGTGTGTGTGTGTGTGTGTGTGTGTGACATGTTTTTGCTTTCGTGTGTGTGTATGTGTGGTTACATTATGTTTGCACTTGTGTACATTGGTTTTCGTGTGCACATGTGCCCGTACGCACATATGTGTGCGGAAGAGTGTTGGTTCCCCCTCTTCCTCTCGCCCTCCCCCCGAGCCTAACCATTTCTCACACACCAAACGGTACATGTGTTTGTGCATGAACCACACAACCACAGGCTCGTATGGATCTCTCGCCCGCTTCCGCGAGATCTCTCGTATGTGCAAGGTTGGCAACCAGACGGTGGTTGGCGGCGGCGGCGACGTTGCTGACTTCCACATGATCCGTGACCTCCTCAACACGCTCGAGTGCGTTTTTCCTGTGGTGGTAGTGCTTGGTATTGGTTGCTGCTGTTTGCTGCTGTTTGCCGGTGCTGTTCAAGAGCTCTTCCATCCCTGTTCCATCTGCCATCGCTTCAACACATTGTCGCTCGTTGTGTGGCTTTCTTCCCTCGCATCTCAACCCGTTTCCTTTGTGCATGTGCGCATGTATACACATGTGTGTGTGTGTTTATTCAGGATTGAGAACCGCGAGTATGAGGATGAGCATGACATCAAGCCACAGGCCGTCCACACATACCTCACCCGCGTCCTCTACAACAGGTGTGTAATTGTATGTATGTGTGTGTGTGTGCGCGAGATGTGACAACTCGTGACACCAGCAACTCGTGGCACTCAACCAACGCCTCCACGCGCACTAACGCTTGGCCGCCTTGCCTCATCACCACCACCACCACCACCACCACCACCACCACCACCACCACCACTTGCTCCACTTTCCACTTTCCAACACTCAACCAGGCGTTCGCAGATGAACCCGCTGTGGAACACGGTGCTGGTTGCCGGTATGCAGGATGGGGAGCCGTATCTCGGGTACACGGACAAGCTCGGCGTCGCCTACCAGGAGAGCACCCTCGCATGCGGTTACGGCGCATACATCGCCCTCGGTGTGTGTGTGTGTGTGTGTGTGTGTGTGTATGCGTGGTGTGTGTGTGTGTGTGTGTGTGTTTGTGTGTGCTTGAGCTTCTCGTGTCATCAATGGTACCTTCTTCGCAGTACAGCCCATCCCTAAACATACACACACCCTTCCACCTCTCCAACACTCACCCCCCCCCAAACTTCCACCAAATCATCAGCCGCTGCTGCGGGAGGTGGCTGACAAGGGCGAGCCCATCACGAAGGACGCTGCCGTGGCCCTGCTGCAGAAGTGCCTCAAGGTCCTCTGGTACCGCGACGCACGCTCCCTCAACCGCGTACGTGTCCACAACGCATGGGTCTATGCGTGCATGTCTGCGTGTATGCGTGCACGTTGGCTGAGATGTATGTCAGTGTTTGTTGTAAGATGCTGCTATTGTGCTGCTGCTGCTGCTGCTGCCCCTCTCCATCTCTTGCATTAGTGGTGCTCACCACGCCTTGCCTCTTCCCTCCCTGACACATGCTGGTGATGCATGTTCAGTTTGAGATTGCGACGGTGACGGCAGAGGGTGTGGACATCTCTGCCCCGCAGTCTTCCGAGTCCGACTGGGGCATCGCCTCCATGGTCCGGTGAGTACATGCACATGCATATGCACATGCGCTGGGTTTGTGGAATGGTTGGCGAGATGTTTGTGCATGCATGCACGCCACGCATGGGCGAGCGGGTGAGCGGGCGAATAAGCAAGCACAAGTGTCCTGAGATTTCTCCCACATATCCTCACACACACACACACACATACGCACACACACATATGCGCGCGCGCACACACACACACACACATGCACCTATAGCGGCTACGAGTGAGTGGACATGGCCTTAGCCACCACGGCAGCAACGCGCCGTCTGATGTGATGCTGTGCTGTTGTTGGTCGCACAATGTGTCTCTCTCGCTTCTCCTCCTCCTCTTCCTCTTGTTTCTCGTCGTCTGACGTGTGCGCTTGTGTGTTTGCGTGTTTGCATGCAGCGTATTGGTTTGTTCCGTTTCCCACACGGCGCGTGCGTTATTGTCCATGTTGGTGTTGTTGTCGTCAGTTCAATACAATGCGGTGCACAGTCCAGCAGCACGCGAAGCAAGGAAGAAGAAGTACAAGTTGGAAATTAGGAGCGGGGGTGGGAAGTGGAACAAGCCAGAGCGAGAACAGCTGGAGTCCCAACCAAAGAAATCAAGCAAATGAGCAAACAAGCAAACGATCAATCGAGCAAACGAGCAAACAAGAAACAAGCAACTCGTGTACGCCTTCCCCGGGTCTTTCGCATCAAAATGCCATGCACACCATCACATCATGCCATCTCATGGTCCAGTTGTCACATGATGGCACCGCACCATCATGTCGCCCTCAGTACCACGACTCGCCGTTCCTCCACTTTGTAAACGCGACGCGGAAGCGGTCAACCATCCCGCCAACGCCAGCAGGCCTGAGGTAGGTGTGTGTGTGTGTGTGCGTGCGTGCGTGTGTGTGTGCGTGTGTAAGAGAGGTGCACATTTGATCATGAATGGTATCATGCACACAGCATCCACTCACAAGAGCATGCATCTCACGCTCACCTTGCGTCCACTGTGTACTCAATATCACCCTCGCCGTTGTCTGCGTATTGATACGAGTGCACATGCACAGTGCAAGTCCATGAGCAGTATGCAGGTGTCAGCATCCCGCGGTGTCTGTTCCACCATCCACATTCAAACACAACACAATACAACACAGCACATCACAACACAACACGAACAGAAACACATGCACCAGCACAATACACGACACGTACCGTATGCGTAATAGTCGAGGATGTAGCGGACCTCTTTTCCGCACCGGTCCACCGTCCAATCGTGGCGGTCAAACGGTTTGTACCTGGCAGCGGGTGTGTGTTGGGGGGGGGGCAGAGGAAAGGGGCATGAAAGGGGTGTCAGGACGACTTGTAGACGTATGTGTGTGTTAGGGTTGGCACGCACGTGGTTTTTGACTGAATACGTGTGTTTTTGTGTACACGTATGTTTGGGTACGCATGCAGTATCATGGTTGCATATGCAGCCACCACCACCACCAGCAGCAGCAGCACCACCACCACCTACTCCGTCCCCCTCACCCGGTGACATTGCACTTACGCACCCAAAGAGTGTCTTGAGGATGCGTGCCTTTGGGCTGTAAATACCGTCCTTGCCCTCAAACCGCGCCAATGTCACATTCGGGCACTCCCTGCCAAAACACACGACGACGTGCATGTATCAATGGTTGTAAGCATAAAAGCAGCAACATGCGCGAGTGTGTGTGTGTATGTGTGTGTGTGTGTATGTGTGTGTGTCTGTGTGTTTGCGTGTGTGTGTTTGCGTGTGTGTCTGTGTATGAGCATGTATGTGTTTGCGTGTGTGTGTGTGTTTGCGTACGGACTTAACACTGCTTGCACCTCTGCAGATGCGTGCGTGCATGTTCGACTCACTGCTGATGCAGCCGCTCGTATTCCATGACCGCCTTCCACGAGAAGTCTGTGACCCTGAGACGCATTGCGAGAGAACGACGATGCATGAGTCACGGGAGTAGGTTGACACAGGGGCATGCATGCTTGTGTCTGCACACGTTCCCATTCGAACCACACACACACACACACACACACACACACACACACACACACACACACACACACACACACACGATGCAGGCAGTGGTGTGGGCAGCCCTTGCAGTACTGACATTTCGTGCACTTGGGCGACGACGAGGGCATCCTCGTAGTCAATGGGTTTGTCCTTGCGCTTCAATGCACGGAAGAGCTGGTGTGCTGCATGCCAGACGAAGTACCAAACAACACAAAAACAAGTCTGAGTTGTACCTTAAACAAGCACAACCACACACAACCACACAGGCAGAGGCAGGCAGACAGACACACAAAGACACACACACATGAACAAGACACTTCCGGGCACCTGAAGGGTTGAGCCACGCTTTGCCATCGTCCGAGTTGCCACGACCTGCTGCTGGGATGACAGAATCCGGCACCTGTGTGGAATAAAACGTGGTGTGCACGCGCCCAACAGTGAGAGCCACGTGCAATTGTTCTCACAGGCATACACATGTCCGTCCACTCACAGCACTCGACACACAATCCTGCAGTCCACACACACACACACACACACACACACACACACACACACACACACACACACACACACACACACACTCTCTCTCTCTCTCTCTCTCTCTCTCTCTCTCTCTCTCTCTCTCTCTTACACACACTTACACACACACACTCACACACACACCTGATCGTATGGGTGGTCTGACTCCTTCACCTCCACTTTCACTGCCGCGTGATCCAGGTTGATGGGCCTGTCCGGAGTGTCTGGCGGCTCTGTTCGCGGCTGTTGCTGCTGCTGCTGGTGCTGCTGTTGTTCTTGCTGCTGCTTGTCACCGCGCTTGTGAAGCACAGGACAGCCACCAGACAGCAGTCCAGCTGCCTTTCCAGTGCTACTGCTACCGCTGCTGTTGCTGCTGCTCTCACTCATCGTGGCTTGGTGTTGGTCCGTCGTGTGTTGTCGTGCGTGCAATGCCCCTGAAATCCACGTGTGTGGTCTAGACTGAATTCAGTTGACGATGGAATGCACTGCAATACGTCCTGTCGTGACGGTTTGTTTATTTTGATTGTTGTTTTTTTCGTCTGCTGCGTTGGGTGTGTGTTGGCGGTGGTTGTTGACAATTACGCGGCTCGAGCACGTCAGCAGCACAGCAGCGCGGAGATCAACGTTCGTTCGTTTCGTCGACACTTTCCCCCTCAACACAAACCAAACCAAGCATCAAGACCCACCTGTCCCCGCCCGCACACGCACACACGCACACACGCACACGCACACACACTCTCTTGTTGGCCTCCACCTGCGTTCGCAAGTTCATTCATTCATTCACACCTGGACTCGCGCTGACGAACAAGCAAGCAAGGGGCGACAGAAGCAGCCAAGCAAGGCAGGAAGGAAGCGGCCAACAACAACACACAGACACACAGACACACACACACACACACACATACACATACACACACACACACACACACACACACACACACACACACACAGACACACGATGGCGCAGACAGTTGAGTGGGTGAAGGTGTCGCTGGGCGACGACCTGCGCCGCATGCGCGTGAGCCAGACATTCGAGCAGCTGCGGTCGCGTGTGCAGGAGGCGTTCCACCTCGCAGGCACCGCGTTCACCCTCAAGTGGGTTGATGAGGACGGCGACCTCATCACCCTTGCCGACGACACAGACCTGATTGCCATGCTGGCGCACCCAAAGGCGTGCGTTCGCGCATATGTGCAGCTCGATGGCAGCGGCAACGACGCAGGCCCAAGCTCATCGCCTTCCCGCCGCGGCCACCGCAAGAGCGACCACAAGAAGAAGGACAAGAAGGAACACAAGAAGAAGGAACACAAGAAGAAGGAACACAAGAAGAAGGAACACAAGAAGAAGGAACACAAGAAGAAGGAACACAAGAAGAAGGACAAGGAGCGCAAGCACACTCAGAAGGAACGCGGGCAGGCCAAGCATTCTCCTGGTGTCCGTGATGCTGAGGAGCAAGACCACGGCCCACACTCTGCCGGCCCTTCGAGCCACACAACGACGGTCACTTCCACTCAGGCACCGACCACCACGAGCACGACAACAACCACGACATCCAGGGCTTCCGCCAGCGCCAGCACGCCCGACGGCAACGTGGTGTCCATCGACGTGTCTGGGGAGGCGCCGTTTCAATCGCTGATTGAGGCAACGGAGCAGCTCATCCGGCAGTACACGGGCATGAGCGGGTCTGTGGAGGTTCGCCTCGACCAGCCCGCCACCCGTTTCGTCCCACAGCAGCAAGAGGAAGAGGAAGAGGAGCAAGAGGAGCAGGAGGAGCAAGAGGAAGAGCAGGTGGCCACGTTTGAGGTGCACGAGGTGGAGGCCCACGAGCAAGCCGAGCCCCAAGTATCGCAGCAGCAGCAGCATGAGTATGTGTTTGTGGAATTCCCTACTGACGACGACGATGATGAAGATGATGAAGAAGGTTTGGACGTGGATGCGGATGTGACGCCGCGTGTGGAAGCGATTGTGCTGGAGACTGCCACTCCAGAGCCAACCCAGACAACAACAGAGGCACCGGCAACAATGACCGCATCCAAGGACCTCCTCGTCTTCTCCACCCACAACGACGACGACGACGACGACGATGAGAATGATGGCGACGACGGCCGTGCTGTGGACGAGGGTGATGCTGGGCTCGACCGGCTCATCGCTGCTGCGCTGGCTGAAGCAAAGGAGGAGGATGCATCGTCGCGTGGCTCCTCTTCATCATCCGATGACGATGACTTGGAGATTGTCTCCACTGCAGATGTGCTTGCAAGCATCCAGGCTGAGCACGAGCAGCAGGAGGAGAACGACAACCAAGGACAAGGCGACGACGGCAGCGCTGTGCCTGCAGGCAGTGATGATGGGGAAGATGACTCTGCTTCCTCGTCGTCCGACAGCGACTACAACGAAGGGTTTGAGCTGGTGGACGTGCCAACAGCCCAGCAGAGCCACAACCGCGATGATCACATGGATGAGGACGAAGACGAGGATGAGGATGCGGGTGAGGTGATCATGATGGCTAACGTGCCAGCAGACCAGCTACAGCAGCAGCAGCAGCAGCAGCGACGCGACGAGGAGAAGAACCAGACATCAGCAGCTGTGACCACCTCTTCGACCCTGCTGCCACCACCAGGCCCTGTCTCAAGCTGGCCAACCTTTGTCCCATCCTACCACAAGCAACAGCAGCAGCAGCAGCAGCAGCAGCAGCAGCAGCAGTCTGGCGCTGCAACGCGCCCGCGGGCCAGCACAGCCCCATCCACAACGCAGCCGCCAGCAACGACGACGACGACGACAACGACGACAACAGAGGACAGGCGGAGTGAGGAGGGGAAGGAGGAGCAGCAGAGGTCATCAGCGCCAACCTCGGGCACGTCCTCTTCCCTGTATCCGCTGCTGCCGCCGCCTGTACCCATGGTGCACACGACCCGCCACCAGTCCGCCCACACCCAGCACCACCAGAGCCATCAGAGCCATCAGAGCCATCAGAGCCAGCACCAGCAGCACCACCAGCAGCACCAGTGCGCCAGCGTGAATGGCCCGAGCGGTGATGTGCGTCCGCAGTCGTCATCATCGTCAGCAGTGTGGTGCCCATCACCCTCATCATCATCGTCGTCGGCGTCGTCATGGAACACGGTCTCGGCACCGGCTCCCGCGTATGACCTGCGCAATGCGTTTGCGGCCCTGTTTGCACCAGACCAGACGCCAGCGCCAATCAACCAGCAGCACTCCACGCACCACTACCAGGCAGTGCAACAACAACAACAACAACAACAACAGCAACAACAACAACAACAGCAGCAGCAGCAGCAGCAGCCAGCGAAGAGAGTGCATTGGGGAGCGACACCAAGCTACCACACCCATGCGCGGGACCAATATGCCCAACCGCCGGCGCCGGCACAGGTGTCACGTCGGCCTCGCATGCCATCTGGCTCCACGGCATTTGACCGCCAGCTGAGCCAGCTTGTGGCCATGGGCTTTGATGAGCGCAAGCACCGCCTGATCCAGCGCCTGCGCCGCCACAAGGGCGACGTGGCCGCCGTTATTGACGACATTGTCAGGCAGTGATGGTTGTGCGTGTGTGTGTGTGTGTGTGTGTGTGTGTCGTGTATTGTTGTGTGTGTGTGTCGTGTATTGTTGTGTGTGTGTGTGTGTGTGTGTGTGTGTGTGTGTGTGTGTGTGTGTGTGTGTTCTGTTGTGTCTGCCTAACTGCGTTGTTCTCTGATGCTCTTGCTTGCTTGTTTGCTTGTTTGTTGCTTGCTGCGTTTTTGAACGCGTGTTGTTCTGCTTTGTTTTCGATTCAACGAACACCCCCCCCCCTAACTGCCGCTTTTTCTTGATCCTAACCTGTAACGCAACCGTGACCCTCTCACGTAAAATAACCAAAACGAAGCCGAGATGGGCATGAACTGGAGGAGAACAAACAGGAGGAGGAGGAGGAGGAGGAGGAAGAGGAGGAACGAATGGGGAAGCATATACACAGACACATACACAGACACACACACACACACACACACACACACACACACACACACACACACACACACACACACACAAGCAGTCGTTGCTGGGTGCGGAATATTTGTGTGTATTTTTAGCCAAATTTCAGCAAACCGGACAATGGAGAGTGGCAGCGGAGATGGCAGCGAAGATGGAGCGGTGCCGGTGGCAGGGGATGACCAGCTACAGGAGTTGAGGGAACGCATTGGCAGGCAGATTAAGCTCGACGGCACCATCATCGACGCCATCAAGGTGTGTGTGCATGTGTGTGCGTGTGTGTGTGTGTACTGTGTTGCGTGTGTGTGTGTGTGTGTGTGTGTGTGTGTGTGTGTGTGTGTGTACTGTGTACTGTGTTGCGTGTTGTCTTTTTGTTTGTGTGTGTTTACATGTGTGTTTACATGTGTGTTTACATGTGTGCGTGTGCACATTGCAGTTCACTTGCCCTTTTGGGGTTTGTTGCTTCTGCCACATACGTCCAGGGCATGACGGGGATGCTGTCAGAGCGGTCGCCGCACATCTGCTCTTGGGGTTGTCGTGCAGTCATGAATGTTGCACGCAGTGACGGTGAGTTTGGGACATTGTTGGTTGTGAAGAGATGCAAGGGCCAAGTGAATGAAATCTCAGTGAACGCGAACCAGGAAGCAAATGGCTTTTACTTTCCACTCTTCCTTGCCCTGTCTCCACCACGGACTGCACTCCATCTTTTGAAACTCAAACCTCACCCATCACATGCACACACATGCACATGCACACACATGCACATACACATCCACACACGTGCACTCACCCATTTACGCGCTCACAGTTCAAGATGTGCCGGCTCTGCAAGAGCTGAATGCCCTGGAAGCCGTGCTGCGGTGCATTCGCCTGCATCCGCAAGATGAGAGCGTACTCACCAGCGCGCTCGGTGCCCTTCGTTACCTCTTTGCAGCTGGTTCGTATTTCTTTGCATGAACGCATCGTAATGTTGTGTCGTGATGGTGTGTTGCGGTGCTGTGTGTCGGTGGGTGTGCGCTTGACATTTGTGTGGTATTTCTTCGTCTTGTAGCTTTATGTGCTGTACTGTGTTGTTGCATGATGCTGTGTAGCCTGTGGGTTCTCCCACAAAACCCTTGCGTTCCCTCGCCACGTCACTTCGTTCGTCCATCGCGTCCACACTCACTGTTCCGTCACGCGCGCAACCACCCTTGTGCCTCCCTCCCATCCTCCACGACAGACGTGTGTGCGCAGCTGTTTGATGCAAGCATGGCCGCCGTGCTGGTGGTGGCGGTACGGGAGCACGGGTCCGATAAGCCCATCATTCTCGAACACGCCAGCGGCTGCTGCTCCGCCCTTTCCAACACAGGTACGCTACACCAAGTGCCACTGTAATTGCACTCGTGTTCGATGCTGCTGCTGCTGCTGCTGTTGTTGTTGTTGTTGTTGTTGTTGTTGTTGTTGTTGTTGTTGTTGTTGTTGTTGTTGTTGTTGTTGTTGTTGTTGCTGTTTAAGTTGTGTATTATGAAGGCACTAAGTCATAAGCAGAGGTCAACACACGCCCAGCTTACAGTCAAACCATTGTTCTGCCCCGTCTTACCCTTCGCGTTGCTGCACTCCCATCCTGTCTGCCTCCGATTTTCATTCTAGGCGAGGGCCGAACCATGCTGGGCGACAGCGGGGTGCTTGAGGCCATATTGGGTGCTGCATCACACCACCTCACGGACGAGCCGACACCAGCGCTTCGAATGGCCATCGCTGCCGTTGCTGCAATGTGCCAGAACCACGGTCAGTGATGAATACGAAGCACACGCGTGCATCTGTGTGTGTGTGTGTGTGCGCGCGAGTGCTTGTTTGTTTGTTTGTTTGTTTGTTGTTGAATGCCTTTGTTGATTCTGACATTGTGCACATGTTTGCACAATTTTTCAGCGCATTCTAGTACACCGACAATGTGACACCACACACACACACACACACACACACACACACACACACACACACACAGACACACAGACAGACACACAGACAGACACACAGACACACACACACACACACTCGCACATATTCACACGCATTCACACCACACACACACATTCACACACATTTATGCACACACATTTACACACGACGAACACGTACCCCTGACCACCACCATCACTGCACGGCAGACGGCAACAGCGGGCGTGCGGAGACCAACGGCGGCCTGCCGCTGTGTCGCAATGTCCTCTTCAAATACACGGCCCATCCCGACACCCTCGCAGCCGTGTTCACCCTGCTCGAGTGTCTGTCAACCCGCGACTCGTTCCGCGAGTGTGTGCGCACGGAGCACCTGCTGCCTGCGGTTGTCGCTGCGCTGACCGCCCACGCTGCAACGCACGTGTCGCTGGCGGAGTCAGGGTGCAGGCTGGTTGCTCGCCTCGCCCAGTCCGAAGAGAACAGGTACGCTGCTGCTGCTGCTGTACTGCGCGATGTAGAAAAGGAGGAGAGGGAGGGGGACGAAGGAGGATGAGGGTGTGTGTATGTGTGTGAGTGAGAGGGGGTGAGTGAGAGAGTGTGTGTACGTGTGTGTGTGTGTGTACGTGTACGTGTGAAGATGGGAGGTGACAGACTGGCACGCACAGAGTCACACGCACACACAACGAGAGGGAGGAAGAGAGAGGAAGGCAGGTTTGGGTGGTCAGTGTTGCGGGCAACGGGGGGGGCGGTGGTCATCGATCGTTGCTAACCACGACTCGCCTCCGCGTCGTGTTCGTCCTCGATATATGGCTCTTTGCACTCAAAACCACTCGGTGCCGTTGGTGTGGTGCAACGTACAGAGTGCAGCTGCTGATTCTGAACATTCTCCCCGTCATCATTGATGTGCTCGAGATCCACAAAGGTGCGAAGGGGGCTGTGTGTGTGTATACCTTTTCATATACTTTGCGCTTACATGCACCGTCTGCCCTTTGCTGCGCTGCCTTGTTTCTCTTTCGTAACCCGTGCTGGCTTTGCCGTGTGTGACCACAGACCACACGGATGCGATTCTGTACGCGTGCTGGGCCATTGTTGAGCTGGCCGTCTCCAATTTCCCAGAAGGTTTGCATGCACGCGCACACTGCCGCACACACTTGTGCGAGTTGGTCACTTGCACCACTTGTGAACACATGCTGGCGTCCCTGCACACGCATAAACACACACACACACACACATACACACACGCATGTACACACGCATGTACACACACATGCACACATACACACACATACACACACATACACACACAATCGATTATCCTCACACACGTGCAGAAGGGGAGGAGCACGACACGCTGGACGAAGACGACGACAGGGGCGAACGGGCGGATTCGGGGCCGCAAGGAGAGGAGAGCGCGAGCGTTTTAGGCCTGGCCTCGCCACGTTTTTCTGTCGTCAGCGGTCCTTTTGAGGGCCCCACTACCTACGAGCCGGATGACGAGGACATTTCAGTGCTGTCGGAACATGAGCAAGCATTTGAAGACGTCATCACCTCCATTTTGAAGAACATGAAGCAGCACAAGGACAAGGCAGACGTGCACCGATACGGCACCCTTGCCCTTGAAAACCTCGCAAGCAGATCAGGTTCCGTGTTCGCGTGTGCATGTTCGCGTGTGCATGTTCGCGTGTGCATGTTCACGTTCGTGTGATTTTCCCACATTTCTACGTTTGCTTTCCTCCCATCTCAAGCCTCACTTTGCAATCAACAAACACACACACACACACACACACTAGAGCGTTTGCGTGTTGCAATTGCTGTGAAGAACGGTGTGCACATCATCATCATCGGCATGAAGCATCACATGAAGGAGCCACATGTTCTCGCAAACGCAGCGCACGCCCTCGCCGTCCTCGCAGCAGACGGTGAGAGAGAGAGAGAGCTTGTGTGTATGTGTGTATGCTCGTGTGTATGCTTGTGTGTACGTGTGTACTTACGCGTAGAAGCGTGTGCATGCACGCGTAGATGCACATGTGTGTGCAGTGTGCAGTGTGACTTACGCGTGCTATTGACAATCATTTGACCGCTGCCATTGTCACGCCTGTTCCTGGTTGTTCGCATTCATTTCGTCCTTGCAGATGAGAAGATGCATCGCCACATCACCATGATACGCGGCATCAACTACACGCTCAAGGCCATGGCCATGCACCCAGAGGTGTGGAATATGTGTGTGTGTGTTTGCACGACTGTGTGGATGTTTCCGCAACTGTGTGGATAAGCGTGTGGATGGATGTGGTTCATGTGGAAGTGGGAGCGAGGTGCATCTTGCACGTGCCTGCATGCACACGTTCGCTCACTCAACATAAACTTAACTGTCATGTTGCTGGCGATTCTGTTATTGCGCAATTGTGATTGCAGGAGGAGGATGTTCAGTTCAACGCCTGCCGTCTCCTTGCAAACCTCTGCCTCACACGTACGCCGATTTGGGGATTTTTCCCCTGTAACCCCCCCCACCCATTCTTGTGTGCTCATGTACGTTCCATGATTTATCTCTATTCGCTCATTCCATTTTCATCATCACCACCACCACCACCACCACCACCACCACCACCACCTTCACGGCAGCGGAGGTGTGCGAGGAAGCGATGCGACAACACGCCGCCACAATGTGTCTGAATGCCCTTGATCGCCACCGCTCAAACTTCGACGTACTCGTGTACGGCTTTCGCCTCCTGGAGAACCTGTCCACGCAAGGTGCGCAATTAGTGGAGAGAAACGATCGTGCAGCGGGGCGTGAGTTGCACGCATGGATGGATGTCACTTCACATATACATGGGCGAGACTGTTTTCACTCACCCAAATACACACAAACAAATACACAAACAAACAAACAAACAAACAAACAAACAAACAAACACACATACATACAAACATAATATTTTCAAACACGCGTACACCGTGCACCCCTTCTTGCTGCCACAGCTGCCGTTCGCAAGCAGCTGCAGGAGGACGGGCGGGCGCTGCGCATATGTCTGGACGGACTCAAAGCGCACGCGAGCGACGCGGACCTGCAGATATCCGGCATTCGCTTGCTCGAACGCCTCTCCTTCAACGGTGGGCCGTGCATGTGTCATGTTGCTTGCTTATGTGTCGTGTTGCTTGGTCATGTGTCGTGTTGCTTGGTCGTGTGTCGAGCTTGCCTCTGCACTTACACACACACATGCTCGCATGCTCGCATGTTCGCATGCTCACATTCAGATACACACATGCATGCACCTGGTGTCGTGCTTGCATGATTGCTTTTTCATGTCTGTTACACCGTTGACACATGCGAAACCCTCACGTCATTATCGGATGTGTTGGTTCACGGACGGCAGAAAACAACCACGTGGTTGCGAATTCCGCGTGTGTGAGCGCCGTTCTGTTTGCGCTTGAAATGCATTTGAAACTGGGCGATGTTGTTGCATCGAGCCTGTTCACGCTCAACAGCCTGGCGCTGAACGGAGCCAACAGACAGGCGATTATGGCCGCACACGGACACGAACTCCTAATGCTTGTCATCAAGCGATGGTGCGTGGTGCGATGCGTGACGTGATGTGACATGATGTCACAGCAGTGCAGGTTTCATCCATTGCTGCGTGCTGCTCTTTCGTCCAGGTCTTTGCTTCTTACCAACACTTCAAACTTCTTCTTCTTTGTGCGATGCTCGGTCACACACACACACACACACACACACATACATACACAAATGCATATTCGCACACACTCCTTCGTGTTGCGTTCTGCGACCACCACATGTCATCACAGGCGCCGGCGTGCTGATTTGCTGAAATACGCGTGCGGCGCCCTCAGCAACCTTGCATTCAAGAGTGGTACGGTGCATATTGTTGGTTTTGTTTGTTTGTATTGTGCGTGGCACGTTGTACACCTGACGCTCGCGCGTGTGTTGGTGTATGTGTGAGTTCGCCATGCATCGCTCAGTGCGACTGGTGTGCGTTCACACCACATCACGTTGCGTGTCTGCATGGGTCCCACACAGACAAGATCCGCCAGGCCCTGCTTGTGGCCGGCGTTGCAAAGGCCATGTGCGCACTCATTAAGGACAAGATTGACGAACCAGAGGTACGGTTCATTGTGTCAACATGGTGTGTGTGATTGTGTGTGATTGTGTGTGATTGTGTGTGATTGTGTGTGATTGTGTGTGATTGTGTGTGTGTGTGTGTGTGCGTGTGATTTGTGTGTGTGTGTGTGTGCGTGTGTTTGATTGCAATTGTATGCTGACGTCGTGTTGACGTGGGCGTGTGGGACTTGTGTACATGGTGTGCTCATGGGCACACCTCCGTTTGCCATTGCTCTTCTTGCCGCTTCAGGTGATTCTGCCGGCCTGCGCCGTTCTGCGGAACCTGTCGTCACACATCAGTGAGTTGAAGACAGAAGACGCAGATGCAGTCGCAGATCATGCTATTGCTTCTAATAATGCGAGATGCACTGTTGCTTTCAGTCGTTCAGCTTTGCAGCTCCAACACACACACAACAACAACAACAACAACAACAACAACAACAACAACAACAACAACAACAACAACAACAACAACAACAACAACAACACACACACTCACACACACACACACACACAACAACACACACACACACACACTCACACTCACACACTCACACACACTCACGTGCGCGCAACATGGCAGAATCGCACCGCAAGTCTGTGTACGATGCGGGTGCATTCGAGACGATGGCGACCGTGCTGAGCGAGCACGGTGCCGACACCACGCTCGTGTATTGGGCGTTTGGCGTCCTCAACAACATCTGCCGCGAGCCCGCCATCAAGCGTGAGGCCGTCCGTATTGGCTGGGTCGACAGGTGCACTGCAGCCATGAACCAGTTTGAAGAGGTGCGATGCTGGTGTGGCATGGTGTACAACAAGTGTATGCTGCGTTACACATTGCACCAGGCATGTTGGTCACCATTCACACATGCACATACAATTGTCTCTATGTCTGCTATCTCTTGCATGTCCCCATCTCACCGCGGAATGCACTCAATGTGCTTGTTCCACCAACCGACCCCGCTTCCCTCCCTTCCACCCCTCCCTTCTACCTTCTCCATCCCACACCCCATGCATTCCTTGACCCATGTGCTCCCTGGCGTGCAGACATCGCCTGCGTATCAGGCCGCACTTGAGCTGTGGACGCGCCTCCCAAAGCCAAAGAAGCACGACAGGAGTGGAGTGCGCGTCGAGACAACCCCTGATTCCGTCCAGGAGATGACGGGCGCTGAGCTGATGACCTTCGCGTGATGTTGTACTGCACACACACACACACACATATTCTGTCTCTGTCCCTCTCTGTCTCTGCCTCTCTCACTCACTCACACATACACACACTCTGTCTTGTTCGCTATTCGCGGTTCGCATGCGCTGTGTGTTCTAATTGATGACATGTATGGGCTGTTGCAGGTGTTATTCCGAACTTGTTTGTTTGGAGGGTGACATGATGGTTGAACGAAAGTAAAGGGTGCTTGTTTGTTTGCGAATCTGAAATGAACGATTGGCAGCAACGACGGTGGCGATGGTGGCGATGATGTGATTTGATTTTATGCCTTTTTGCTTGTTGTGTACAGTTCGTTACAGAAACAGAGAGGGAGCAAGAGCAAACCAAGAGAAAGAAAGCGAGAACGGAAATAGGTATGTTGGCTCGAAACAAAACCAGCCGTCAACACGTGCTGGTGATGTAGTATGCGCCATTCTGTACAGACAGGCAGGCAGACACACAGACACACACACGACCACACACACACACACACATACGCACACACACATACACACTACTACACTAGATAGTCTGGAGTGCGTGGGCATAAACGGCAGCAGCATCAAGCACGATCCCACGCAGGAAAAAAGCGCCACCAAGCGCAGACGTGCGCTGCCCAAGATGGAAAAAGCAGTTGGCACCTTCCAGTCCGCAGTCATCCACGGCACCGACCAGCACGGCGGAGAAGGTCTGGTCGTCCACACGCAAGTCGATACGAGTGCTGTCCACACTGACAGTGATGGTGTGCACGGTGCTGTCTGCAATGGCCACATCAAACCGCACGCTCTGCTGTGTGCGGAACCCCTGTGCTGCGTAGTAAAACGTCAACGCATTCGATGTGCTGCTGGAATACAGCGAAAAGTGCCGGAACCCTTGCCCGTCCGACTGTGCAAACAGGTAGCCGTTGTTGCCTGCAAGCTGCATCACCCGCATGCTGATGACGAACGTCGAGCCAAACCCGCCGTGATCCAAGATGCGCACGCCATTCTGCCATCAGGAACAGAAGCGGCGGAATGGATGGTGTGGATGGATGGATGGTGTGGAGGTGTGAGGATGACAAATGAATTTTGAGTGCGATCGAGTTAGAGGGAGCAGAAACAAGCAAAGTACATGCACACACATACAGACTCACAAAACAACAACAACAACAGCAACAACAACAACAGAAAGCGTCAACCAGCGGCAACCGCCTGTACTGCAATGCTCCAAAGCCACCAACGCACCGATCCATCGAGCGTGAGATCCCCTGTGAGCGAATTGTACTCGTCCTCAGGCGCGTTCGAGATTGTGGGAAGGAGGAGATTCGAAAACAGCCACAGCGAAGATGTCAACGATTGTGTGTCGCCAGCGGGTTCAACGCCACCGCGCCACGTGAACTGGAACATTTGTCCGCGGAACACGAACGCACCGCCGGTTGTGGAGGATCGCTGGCCAATGTAGAACACGCAATCCGGACCAGCGGCGCCGCAATCCACCACGGCCCCCGCGAGTGTGATGGTGTCATACTCTTCCTCGTCAACCGTCAAGTGCAACTCGCCCTGGCTCTGTTCAGGCGAAGACAACCAACAAAACACCAGCACCAGCAGCAGCAACAACAACAACACGCACAAAGCACGGAGCGTGTCAGATGTAGTCACACTGACTGTGTTTCTGGAGGGATAGGACGGCAATTCGATGGTAACACTTTCAACGCCCTTCACACACACACACGCACACAACAGCTTTCGTCAGCACACGATACCTGGTCGTTTGCAAAGACGACGGTGAGAAGGACTTGATGGAGTTGGCCGTCGGAGATGCTGACAGGGAGGTGAACAACCTCGCTGCCCGTGGTGTCCTGGCATGGGGGTGATATGGAGGAGGAGGAGGAGTGGTGTCAACAAATCGCATCGCGTATCATGCACGCAGGCAAGCATAAGCACTTCGGAGGCCTCGACGTACCATCACCCGAAAAACACTCACACCTTCTGGTCAAGTCTAAGTCATAGAGGTGCTCAACGTACACACACCCAAACACACGCATCGATGGCACCAAGACACCAATTCACTACATCCACCTTTCTCCCCTTACACACCGTGTGGTAGTAGAAGGACAGGCGATTCGAAGTTGAGCTCGAGTAGAGGCCATACGAGCGCTCATCCCCAGCGGCGTTCGTCTTGGCAAACAGGTCTGAGCGGCAACCAATCAAGGGAGGGTGGGGGAAAGTAGCGGGTGTGAATCACGACAAATAAGAGAAATCACTGGCCATCAGACACGACAAAAGCTCAGAACGACATCACACACACATATATTCACACACACACAGGCATATACACACAAAAACACAGGCACATTCACACACAAACACAGGCACATTCACACACAAACACAGGCACATTCACACACAAACACAGGCACATTCACACACACATAAATACACACACACACTCACAGACACATTCACACACCCGACTTACATCCGTTATCGTTGAGAGCCTGGCGCGCCGTGATGGCGATTGAAAACCCAGCGTCGCTGTCCGTGGGTGGATGGTTATCAACGCGCACAACGCCACCGCCAAACGACAGGCCACCGCCTGGTGCCGTGTCCACTGTCCCGAGCACCGTGGCGTTGGACGCAGATGGCGCAGAGGTGTCCAGCAGATTGAGGATTGACGACGTGCCATCGCTGCCAGTGGACGTTGTTGTGGGCGGTGCGGTCGTGCTTGCAGGCAACGGGGCCACGGGCGTGTCGAGCGCAACATTGGGAACCAAGAGGAGGCGTGAGATGGCGCCGATCCACGAGGTCGAGGCTGGGCCCACTTCAGCCCCGCGTGTGCCCACAGAGAGAACACATGCAGGGGAGAGCGGGTAGCACGGAGACAGAGAGGAAGCCAGCGTGGCGGTGGACTCAAAGTCCACTTCGCCAGCGTCGTCTGTGATGATGCAAGACACTTCCGTCTGCGACACGGCCAGCAGCAGATGACGACGAGACACGGCAGGCAAAATGTAGCTGAAGCGCACGCTCTGCTGCTCTCCGCTCAACGTGGTGTAGAAGAAGAGCAAACTTCCAGAGATGTCGCTGTAAAACACGGCAACGTAGCGAAGGCCGTTGCCGTCGGACAGAGACACCACGTAGCCAGCTGTCCCCGGGGCACGCTCGACGGTGGCCACGATGCTGAACACACTCTCCAGTTGGGGCATTCGAACAGCGGTCAGTCCGCGCGAGCCATCAAAGCCATACGCGCGCACAGTGGTGGCTGCTGCGGTGCGGGTTGAGAGCGGCGGAAATGCGTTGTCGTGATTGCTCGGATCCAGCAAATCAAACTCATCACCAACTTGCGTCGTCGTCGTCGTCGTCGTCGTTGTTGTTGTGGATGTTGTTGTGGATGTTGTTGTTGTTGTTGTTGTCGTCGTTGTTGTTGTTGTTGTTGTTGTTGTTGTTGTTGTTGTTGTTGTTGTTGTTGTTGTTGTTGTTGTTGTTGTTGTTGTTGTTGTTGTTGTTGTTGTTGTTGTTGTAGATGTTGTTGTAGATGTTGTAGTTGTTGTTGTAGATGTTGTAGTTGTAGTAGTAGTAGTAGTAGTTGTTGTTGTTGTTGTTGTTGTTGTTGTTGTTGTTGTTGTTGTTGTTGTTGTTGTTGTTGTTGTTGTTGTTGTTGTTGTTGTTGTTGCATCCATGAGAAAGTCAGACACAATGTGCACCACAACATCCGAGCCCATGTGATCGCCAGACACCACCGCAGCGTTGTTCACGTGCACACCGTCGGCTTGTTCCCTGCTGCGCACAAGACGACCGCCCATCGTTGCAAACACAGCGCCACTTCGAAGCTCATCAAGCTCGTGCACGCCATCTGCAATGTGGCCCCGCAGCAGCGCAACCGCCAGCGTGTTGTCCGACGGATCAAACAAATTGCTTTGCTCCTCGGGAGTGAGGGCAGAGAAGGCGGAGGATGACGGCACGAGCAGCGTCAAGTTGCGACGGCCGCGAAGCTCCGCGTCATACCCGCTGGTCTGCACGAGAAGCGAAAAGAACGCGGCGTCACCAACAGAGTTCAACACATCAAGTGCATCAACCATCACTGTTGTTGTTGTTGTTGTCGTTGTTGTTGTTGTCGTGGTGGTGGTGGTGGTTGTTGTAGTTGTCGTGCTTGTGGTTGTTGTTGTGGTTGTCGTTGTCGTAGTTGTTGTGGTGGTGGTCGTTGTAGTTGTTGTTGTGGTCGTCGTTGTCGCGGTTGTGGTGGACGAACGGGTGGTGGTTGGGCGAATGGCGCGCAAGCTGACACCGTCTGTTCCGACGCTTACATCAGTCTCGTCAACGACAAACGTGAGCAAGCGGCACACACGCGCGCCCTGTCTGTTGACAAGGTAGTACAGGCCACCACATCCACTGGTGTCTGCACAGCGGTATTGGCACTCAAACAACGAAATGTCGTTGATGCGGGCTCGAAGTACGTCGCCATCGAACCCGTTTGCCACCCGTCTTTCCCCTTCCGCAATCAGCTCAAACGCCACCATGTTTGGCCACGTGTTGGTCGTTGTGGTCGTTGTCGAAGTTGTGGTGGTCGTTGACGAAGTTGTGGTCATCGTCGTCGTTGTGGTAGTTGCAGTTGTAGTGGTGGTCGTCGTCGTGGTGGTCGTATCAATGTTGGACGAAGATGTCGTGGATGTGGTTGTCGTTGTTGTTGTGGTGGTTGAAGTTGTGGTTGTGGTGCTTGTTGTCGAGAGGGTTGTTGTGGTGGAAGTTCGGAAGAATGGGGAGCCTTGCTCCGCACACGTGTATTCCTGCAACGAAGAAAGCGGGGAGCGACATGCAATGAGAAATGCGCAAACCATCACAAACACATGGACAGCAGCAACGACAGCGCCTCTAGCACGCGAGGTGCGCAATAGCGTCCACACACTCATGTACCTGATACGCCAAAGGGATGGCAGCGGTGCCGCCTGTCCACGTGGCCTCCGAGACGATTTCGCCATTGAACCGACACTCTGCAAACTGCAGTGGCGCACGTGTGATGGTGATGAGATGGCGGCGACACACAGTCTGTCAAACCAACTTGCATCGATCATGCGATGACATGACATCATGACGTGACGTGACGTGACACAAATTCAGTAATGCTTGTCGTTGGATGATACCTGAATGCTTTGCAGCTGTTGGCAAATTGCCTGCGAGCATCGGCTGGTGCGGAAATGACACACAAACGCAGTGGAAAAACCGTGAGGAAATTCCTCGAAGAACTATTGCATGAAGTTCACCCGGAGAGTTATCTCCACTGTCAACTCAAATAGCGTGCTCCACCCCCCACCCCCGCTCCAAGCTTCAGCAACAAGCGAGTGTGTACCTTTCGGTGTTGAGGGTTGCAGTCGCCTCGAAGAAGCGAATACCGCTGGTCGACGTGCAGGAGCACGGATTGGCTGCAAGGACAATGTGTGTGTGTGTGTGTGTGGGTGTTTGCGGCGTATGCGCAGGTGTAGACAAAGAGAGGTGAGTGAACAAACAAAGGCGCCACACGCTTTCGAACCTGTGACTGGGAGGTGGAACACCAACGCAACGAGAACGCATGAACGGGGTGTCTATTTGACACTGACAATGCGCGCACGTCCACGAGCACAATCGCGTTGTTACCTGTTTGTCCAAGCTGCCACACAGTGTTGGTGAGGTCAAATCCACCGCAGCCGTTGCTCAGCTGCACGTCGCCGTCCGTGGCAACGCACGTTTGCTCTGAGCATGAGCAAGAGGCAGGGACGAGCGATGCACGATCGCCGGCTCATGTGAGCACAGATGTGGGACATGGAAATGGCAGCAGACACACATACACGGAGGTACGCAAAAACATTGCACACATACAATTACACATTTACCATGACACACACACACACACACAGATGCACACACACACACACACACACACAGATGCACACACGCAAGCTGCACAACATCGCACACGGTTTTGTGCAAGCGTGCCACGTACCGACTCCAATACACACGCCATCTTGGCACGTGTCGAGCGCGGTGAGTTCATCGTTGCCGTCATCGCACCAAATGCCGTTGGGAAGTGGATCATAAAAGCACTCCCCAAGGAAACACTCGCCTGCATGTGATCAAGCGCGTGCATGTGTGCGAGTGAGACCAATTTATGCACTTGCAGCTGGGTTTAGCATACTCATACGCCCACAAAGTTTCAATCACACGCGCGTGGCGAAAGTGTCTTGAATGATGAACCATTTCTAGCTCCCATACCTGGAGCGTGACATGTGCGCTCTTCGCAAGGGGGAAGTCCTGATGGCATGAAAATAAATTGTTGTGCGCGGGGGTAAGATCGATGCATGTTCAACAGGCAACAACAATGGCAAGCCAAAACATGTGCACGTCTGCTGTCCCTCACAATGACCTACATTGCAGACACGACACACACACGACACGACACGACACACACACACACACACACACACACACACACACACACACACACACACGACACGACACGACACACACGACACGACACGACACACACACACGCACACACACACACACACATGTGTCAACCACGCACCTTCACACGGATCAATCCCAACACACACGCCCGCGCGACACCGGTCCTCAATGGTTCCTGAGAGCAAACACAACACCAAAGCCGGCACCAGAGTGGATGTGGATGTGTGTGTGTGGGGGGGGGGGTTGAAACCGTGACAACCATGTTCGAGATGGGTGCGGTGTGGAAGCGGGTTACAGTGAGAGCAATCGTGAATTATGGCGTTCGTGAACGCGCACGTATGAACACACACACACACACACACATACACACACACAGTCTCTCACTCTCACTCACTCACAAGCCGACACATGCACACACCCGACACACAACACATGTGCAGACCTTCATTGTTGTCATCGCACTGCGTTCCATCCAGCACGGGCACGCCAGCGATGCACTGGCCTTTTGAGCACTGGGAAATGGTGCATGGGTTGTCACCAGCATCGGGGCAGAGGGTCCCATCGGGCTTGGGCTCAGGATCAAGGCACTCGCCTGCATATGTGTGTGGAACGTTGGGGGGGGGGGCAAATGTGGACAAGAACGCAGGGAGCAGTGAATGGATGTATGCGGAGAAGCAAGGGTGAGTGTGTCCCAATTGCAATGGTTGAGCGGAGTTCGACAGAGCATAAATGTTGCCTGCAGGCAAGGAATTGTGGGTCGATAAATCTAGAAATGAAGACAAAGGAACAGTCAGAAAAAAAAAACTGGCAATGCAGAGCTGACTCACCGAGACGGCAAACGGGTTGGAACAAGCACGGGTTTGTTGTTGTGTTGCACGTGACGGCCAAGCACGGATCCACACCCTCGCACGTTCCCTCGAATGTGCACAGGTCGTTCAGCGTCGTCTCATCGCCTGCACAGCCACACCAGGAGCCGTGTGTGGATGTAAGTTGATGTGAGTGGATGCAAGCAAGCAACACTGCAATCCTACTCGTGCAATGTTACAGCGCACATGTCAACAGAGTACACACACGTGCATGCGTGCATCGAGCATGCACTCACACAAGCACACACACACACACACACACACACACACAAGCACACACACAACCTACACATAATTACACACAGTCATGATCACACAAACATCCAAGCAAATCCACGCACCATCATCGCATGGCGAGCCGGCGGGGCGGAGGTCATACTGGCATTGTCCAAAGTCGTCACACGTGCCAACCGCATTGTAGCATGGTGATGGCGGGGGTGTATCGCACACCACACCAGCACACAGGTCCACGCCAACGCATTCACCAGCCAGACACTACACGTAGTGATTGCACGCGCACATGTTGCATTTAAGTCAGATATCAAGAAGTGTCTCAGGCATGTGCTGACGTTATGGTGCACAAGAAACGCACTTCCACACACACACACACACACACACACACACACACACACACACACACACACACACACACACACCGTACAGTACCGTATCGTTGACTGTGCGAAGCGTTCCATCGTCGCATTCCGTGCCATCCGCTATAGGTGAGAAGACACACTCCCCAAGAACGCACTCAATGTCGATGTGGCATGGCCCAAGTTCGCACTGGTCAAATAGGAGCAAGCATGCAAGGGCGTGCGAGTTGGGGTCAGCACATCGTAGCAGCAGCAGCAGCTGCTGCTGTGAGGCACATGCTGAATTCCAGCAAGAAGCAACGTACACAATGCAGTTATTGTTGTTGAATTCAACACGTGCACGCATTGTACATGTTGATATGTAGGCACGTGCGTGGTGGGACCATTTGCTCTCACGCCCACGCCCACCATTCATCCTCCATCCCACTGCTTGCTTGACTCACCGTCACGTTGGCGCATGGATCGATGCCGGTGCACTGGCCCATGCCGTCGCAGGCATCGTCCACAGTTGCGTTGTCGTTATCAGAGCACGGCGTGCCCAGCGCTGCAAACGTTGATTCGCAGACGCCACGGAAGCAGGTGACTGTCGGGATGCACGTGGTGGGTGCAGGGCAGAGCGTGGTCGTGCATGGGTCGATGCCAGCACACGTGCCGTTTCCGTTGCACACGTCGTTCTCTGTGTCGTCGCTTCCGTCGTTGCACGGCGTGCCCTGTGGCGATGGCGTGTACACGCAGTCGCCCGTGGCATGATCGCACGCGCCAGATGCGTAGCACTGCTCCAGCGCGTCACAGGTAGTGTTGGCGCACAGGTTCACGCCACGGCACACGCCGTTTGCGCACACCTCCCGTGCCGTCACAGGGTTGTGGTCGTCGCAGGCAAACCCTTCCCGGACCGGATCACCAGGAACACATTCACCAAGCACGCACATCATGCCAGTGTGGCAGTCCCTGTTTGGGTCGGCAGCGCACACCATGTTGAAGCAGTATGCCTCTTGGCGCGAAACCCACCGAAAGTCTGTCAGGATGGCGCCAACAGCAAACATGGACACGTCGACGACAACGGCACCCGAGATGGGGTCTTCGCTGCGGTACAGGCGCACGTTGCCGCGCCACACCTCCGGGTGCGCATCGCGAGCAACGACAACGCGAAGGCGGTCGTCAGCGCTGTATGTGCCGATGGCCGCACGGAAGGCGCCGTTGGAGTACACGAAGAGCGAGAAGGAGGTCGACACAAGCACGCCAAACTCAACATTGTCGAAGTCTGTCGTGTCATCTGTGACGGCAAAGCCGACCAGCGTGTTGTTGCTGCCAACGGAGAGCCGGACCTCAAATCCAGCATGGGCATCGGCATCATCACTGCAGTTTCACGGTGCATACAACGTGCGCACGGGCACAACGGGTGGGGGACTAAAGTCAGCACAAAGGAGGGTGGTTGTTTGCACACGCAAGCAAGCATGTGTGTGTGTGTGCGTGCGAGTGTATGTGTGTGTGTGTGTGTGTGTGTGTGTGTGTGTGTGTGTGTGTGCGTGCGTTCGTTTGCAAGTTGTAGAGGGCACCTGCAAAGGGAGTCTACCGTGCCCTGCTCACAGAAAGGATGAAAACGTGAGGTGACGCAACACACAAACGTACGCATTTGGATCGATGACGTCAATGGAGGAAGCGCCCGCCGTCCAGCCATCGCTGCCGCGTGTGCGTCGGAGTCCATATGTCGGTGTCTCAGCAACGCCAATCTGCAACATGAACCAAGCACCATACAATGCGATGATATGACGAGCATCGTGAGAAACAGCAGTACTAAACAACAGCACTCATGCTGGTGCGGCTCACAATCGTGAATCACAGTCAACACCGCCAGCAGCAGGCAGCCACGTACCTTGTTCGTCCACGCAATGCACGAATCATTGCAGGGAAGAAGGCCAGAGCAGAGGCCAGCAACACAGACGTCGTGGTAGGTGGACGGGTCATTGTCGTTGCATGCAGAGTTGTCTGGTCGGAGGGCCAGCACGCACTCGCCCTCCACGCATGTGCCGGGAAGAAAGCACTGGTTTGGAGCGGGGCACGACACATCCTCGCATGGATCAAACCCAGCACAGCGCCCATTGCCGTCGCACGTGTCGTTGAATGTGGTTGCAAGCCCATCGTCACACGGCACGCCCTGTTTTGGTGTGAACCATGCCCAAAGACGCCCAAGGGAGGGGTGAAGGAATGGTGTGAGTGAGTGTGTGCATGTGTGAATGTGATGAGTGTGAGTGTGAGTGTGAGTGTGAGTGTGAGTGTGAGTGTGAGTGTGAGTGTGAGTGTGAGTGTGGGTGTGAGTGTGAGTGTGAGTGTGAGTGTGAGTGTGAGTGTGGGTGTGAGTGTGAGTGTGAGTGTGTGTGTGTCGCAGGGTCAATGTGAGGAGTAAAGGTGCTGATGCATTGGTGGACGATGAGTGGGCACCATGGTAGCGCCCGCAAGTGCATTTGCTGTGCAACCAAACATTCATGTGTTCACACACGCAAGCTTCTTGACGTGGCATGAGAAAGGCATCGGCAGGACCTCAGGAATGAAGGCGAGGGAGCAGTTTCCGCGGAAGCAGACACCGGGGAGGTGGCACTGAGATGGCGCTGTGCACTGCACGTTGTCGCACAGGTCGATCCCGGTGCACACCCCATTGGTGCACGTGTCATCCGTAGTGCGGTCGTTGCCTGACGATGAAAGGATGCAACAACAGCAACAGCAACAGAGGAGGACGCCGACAGAACACAAGGGGCGGGGATCGTGAGCTCAGGCTGCTTGTGACACAGCAAGGATGTCTCATGGTTCACACGACACAATTGTTGTCAACAGGCCCGTGCGCAAGAAACCAACACGCAGGCGAGAGGGCAAGGAAAGTGGGAAAGCAAGTGGGAAAGCAAGTGAGAAAGCATGCACGTGCACATGCGAACAAGCAACATACTCACCATCATCGCAGGGCGCCTGTTCAGGCAGCAGAAGATTGACGCACTCGCCAGTGAACCGGTCACAGTAGCCTTCCTCGTGGCAGGGACTGCACACGAACAACAACAACAACAACAACAACAACAACAACAACAGCAACGAAGACAGCAGACCAATCAGCAGAAAGTTGCAGTAAGGACAAGACAATGGGCATGTGCAGGGACGCTCGCAAAAAGGAATGTGTGTGCGTGCGATCTGCACATCAACACATGAATGCTCACGCCCACTTTCACGCACAAATGCACAGGTTCGTACAGTCACACGCTTCCTGTCCCTCTCATCCGCATACACAGGCACAAACGCCGGCTCTGCAAAGGGACTGACCTGATTCGGGGGCACGCGACGCCCTCACAGTTGTCTTCACCAACACATCGAAGCGAAGAGCCATCCCCCGTGGGCACGCACTTGTCGTTCACAGTGTCCTCGTTGCCTTGTAGACAACCATGTCAGTGTGTATGAGCAGTCAGGGACGGGGGAAGACCGGTGGTGTGAGCGAACCAAGTAAGCTTGGAAGGTGTTCATGTGACTGGATGACGCAAACACATACATATGTGCAATTGCGCGCACAGACACGCATGCGCGTACCATCGTCGCAGGTGCTGTTGACTTGTTTGAGCGGGCTCGCAAGACAGATGCCGCCAAGGCAAGGTGCAACGTCATGACACGGCGACGCGGCCTCGCATTGCACCTGCGTACATAGTTGTGTGTGTGTGTGTGTGTGTGTGTGTGTGTGTGTGTGTGTGTGTGTGTGTGTGTGGTGGCTTGATGAGTGAGGGTGTTGTCGTTGGCGTGGGATGGCAGACTGTGGATGGGTGTGTTTTGCACTGAATTCGGGAGTTGCACGCATGCCCTTTGTACGTGAAGTCCTCACATCAAGGAAATCGCACAGGTCGACGCCCTGGCACGATCCGTCCAGCAAGCACACGTCCTCCACCGTGTTGCTGTCACCTGACCACACAGACAGACAGGAGAGCCATGCGAGTGAGCGAGAACCGCAGACGGCAACGCACAGACAATGCTCAGCAGACGGCACGCCACAGCCAATTGAATACCAAATGACATTCAAACACGCATGGCATGTGTGTTGCAGTGCTACGGCGCATGCAGCTGCCGTGAGCCCACGCTGTGCAAACGCTCACCGTCATCACAAGAAGCGCCGACTGGTGCAAGCGAATATGTGCATCGCCCATTCGCGCACGTTCCATTCAAGCGACACGCGGGCGGTGCTGGACAAGTGAAGCCCTCACACAGATCAACTCCCATACAAACGCCATCCCTGCGTGTCAAACGACGAGGCGGTGTTCAAATACAATGTCGTTGGTCTCACAGCGACGTGGACAGAGAGAGAGAGAGAGAGAGAGAGAGAGAGAGAGAGAGAGAGAGAGAGAGAGAGAGAGAGAGAGAGAGAGAGAGAGAGAGAGAGAGAGAGAGAGAGAGAGAGAGATAGACTCGTACACACACACTCTCTCTCACTCACACAGCACACACACACTCTCTCACTCACACAGCACACACACACACAACACAACACGCAACACACAACACAACACACACACACACACATACACAACATAACACACAACACACAACACACAACACACATGCATACATACACACACACACACACAGCACACACAAAGCACACACAAAGCCGCATGCGTGCGCAAGGAACCCCGCACTCAAACGCAAACATACTCAAGTATTGGACGCACCTGCACACGTCGTTGTCTGTGCGCGGGTCACCATCGTCGCACGGGGTGGCATCAGGGGCATTGGGATGGCTGCACTCTCCAAGGAAACAGACACCAGCTGTGTGGCACTGATCAATGGCCTCACACACGACGTTGTGAAGAACACACGGATCCACGCCAACGCAGGCGCCGTCGTCCTGGCACGTGTCGTTGACAGTGCCAGCGTCACCATCCATGCACGGCACGTCAGGGATGATCGGGTGCGGAGGACAGGAGCCGTCGATGCACACGACGTCCTCGAAGCAGGCGGTGGGCCCTTGCTGAAGGCCAAAGCACTCCCCATCGAAGCACGCGCCAGAGATGTCGTTGACGGTGCACGATGTGCCATCTGACACCGTCGGCGTGCTGCATTGGCCCGTGGCAAAGTCGCATGTGCCGGCAAGGTGGCACACGCTCTGTGGCGTGCACTCCACGTCCTGGCACAGGTTCACGCCCGCACACACGCCGGCCACGGTGCAAGTGTCGTTGATGGTTCGCCCATCGCCGTCATCGCATGCACTGCCGGGTGCAACCTGCTCATACTCGCACGTGCCCGTGGTGTAATTGCACACGCCAACAAAGTGGCACGGCTTGTCGTCACACACCACGTCAAGGCAGAGGTTTGTGCCGACGCACTCACCACCCAGACACTTGTCGTCCACAGTTTGCTCATCGCCATCGTCGCACGGTGTCTCCTCTTCTTTTGGGATGTTCTCCCTGTCGTCAGCGGGACGTGCGTGTGTTGTGTTGTGTTGTGTTGTGTTGTGTTGTTGAGGGAAGCTGTGAGTGTGAGACATGCCCACTTGCTTTCGCACACTTATTCGTGCAAGCAAGTACGGGCCAGCAACGGCAGCAGGACAAATTGTCCAACAGCATGAAGAGCAAGCGAACAACACCCCTCCCCACCAGAACGCACGTGCAAAAGCCGTCGATGCACACTGGTGTTTCGTGGCACTGGTTCAGCGGCTCGCACACGACATTGTTTGCCTCGCATGGGTTGATGCCAATGCATGCGCCGTTTGCCGTGCACGAATCCTCAATCGTGTTTGGATTGCCTGAGTTGGTGACATGCAGAGAATGGGCCGGGTGGGTGAAGTGAGTGCCAACGCGCTCCACGGCACCATGCGTCAAAGGAACCGCAAGCACATACGCATGCAAGCATGCACATTTACACACACACACACACTCCCGCTCACTGACTCACACACTCACTCACTCACTAGCTCACTGACTCACTGACTCACACACTCACACACTCACACACACACACACCGTCACTGCAAGGTGTTCCAGGGTCCTCAAGTGCATACGAGCACTGGCCAGCGAAGCAGACGCCCTCCAGGCGACACGGCGGCGCTTCGGGACACGTGACGCCGGCACACAAATCCTCACCAGCACACACCCCCTTCCGGCACTGCCACGCGAGCACAGCGCAAGAAAAGGTGAGGGGCGGGAGAGGAGTGTGTGAGATGTAGATGAATGAATCAAAGAGACAACAACAGCAGAAGACGCTCATGCGTATGGCGAGCGCACAGCAAGCATCAGCACAGAAACACAACCACAAGACAGCTAACTTCAGTTCACACATTCCTGCCCCCTTCGCTCGTAGCACGAGCCCACCTTCCTCACTCACCACATCGTTGCTTGTGGCAGGGTCTCCGTCGTCGCACGACGTGCCGTCAGACAAGCGAGGTGTGGTGCACACACCTGTTTCACAGAGCAAGTTTCGGAAGATGAGAGGCGTAGCAAAGCGCAGTGTAATACATTTCAAATACATGCAGCCCCCCCCCGCCACACACACCCACACACACAAACACACAAACCTGTAAGGACGTTGCATACGCCTGCGCTGTGGCAATCATCAATGGGCTCGCACGTGACGCCTTCACACTTTGGTGTTCCCCGACAAACGCCCATGGTGCACTGGTCATTGCGTGTGGTGTCATCCAAGTCATCGCAGGGCGTGCCCGCTGGCAGCGTTGGTGTTGTGCACACGCCACGCACGCATTCGCCAGCGGCGTGGCATTGGCTGATGGGCGTGCACACCACGTCGAGACACTTGTCGATGCCCACGCATTCGCCCTGCTCTGTGCACGTGTCGTCGCGCGTGCCAGCATCGCCATCATCACAAGCCGTGCCTGCAGGCAACAGCGGCCCTTGCACGCAGTCTCCGTCGATGCACATGGCACTAGCATGGCAGCCACCAGGGACGCACGTCACTGCATCGCATGGGTTCGTGGTGGTTGTTGTGGTTGTCGTGGTAGTTGTCGTGGTTGTCGTGGTAGTTGTCGTGGTGGTTGATGTGGTTGTGGTTGTGGTTGTGGTTGTTGTACTAGTAGTGGTAGTAGATGTAGTGGTGGTAGATGTTGTGGTAGTGGTCGTGGTCGTTGAGGTAGTTGTGGTCGTCGTCGTCGTTGTGGTCGTCGTCGTCGTCGTGGAAGTGGTACTTGTTGTCGTGGAAGTGGTAGTTGTTGTCGTGGTGGTGGTGGTGGTGGTGGAGGGTGGTTGACACTCGCCATCAACACAAATGCCTTCCGCTCCCACGCAACTGCTCCCGTCTGATAATGGCTCGTACTCACACACGCCGTTAACGCACATGCCTGCGATTGAAATACACATGCGACGCGATGACAGAGACGTGTGACAGTGAGGGCCAAGACATATCGACGCATTCAGACAAGGAGACGGAGAGAGCACAACCAAAAGCGCGACGTCCATTCCTGCCCATCGCCGCGAGACACATATGCATGCTGCAAGCACTTGCGTTCGCACCTGTGGGGCGGCAGGGCGTTGGGCTGTCACACACGATAGCATCACACCAAAACTCGTTGCTGATCCACTGTACATCGTGCACCGCGGCGTTCGGGGACTGGAAGGACGTGTCCACCCACAACTGGGTTGCAGTCACTTCATTGCCACTGTACTGAAAGATGATGGTGTCCCCCAACACAACCTCGAATTGCCTGTCTCGGTTGATTCGGACCTGCGAGCACATGAACCGCAAAGGCAAGAGAGTGAGTCACGTGGGAGCTGAAGTGAGAGAGAGAGTGTGTGTGTGTGTGTGTGTGCGTCTCTCATGTGTGGCTATGGGTTGACGAGAGAGCAGCCGAAGGACATCGTTGTTGGCAGTGTTGGCTTTGTTGTTGGCTTTGTTGTTGGCTGCCGTGCGCTCACAATGGCCAACGTTCGCGTGCGACATGTCGTGTACCTGGAATGAATTCCCAGCCATGTAGCTGCCGATGCCCTCCACAAATGTCACCGCATTCCATACGATGAGAGTGCCGACATTGGTGAGGTGCAGCGCATAAGTGATGGACGCAAAGCTTGTCTGGTCGTTGTCCTGCGTGGCGAATCCAATCTGGGATGATCAAGTGGCAAGCACAACGAAACAGGCAATAGTCAGACAAGAAGGGAGGCTGTGAGCTTGTGTGTGATGGAACATTTTCCCCTGCATGTGAGCAGCGTGCCCAGTGTGCATGTATGACGGTGTATGTATTGTGGCGATGACGCCAGCAGCCTCAGTTATCCTATGCTTCAACACAAGTTGCACCACATCACACGCACACACACATACATAAACACACACGTGCACACACACACACATACATAAACACACACGTGCACACACACACACACACAAACACACACACAAACACACACACACACACACACACACCATGAGGGTTCTGTCTGATGTCGGAATGGTGAAGGAGATGCCTGCAATGCCGTCCTGCGAGAGGTCGAAGCTTGACGCGCTGATGGCGCCTGCAATGGTGGAGCTGCTACCTTTCTGCAACCCACCGTTCTGGACGGTCAGGCCTGTCAGCGGGGATTTCCAGGCCACCGCATCACCTGCCGTGCACAGCGTCCAAGCAGGTGGAGTATATGAGTTACGCGAGAGGGAAAGTGTGCCTGCAAGCAACACACAACACGAGGCGAAGCAAGCGCGCAAGCAAGAAAGCGTGCAAGCAAGCAAGCGATGCTCGGATGTTCCTCGTTGTTGTCACACCTGGCACCAGCGACTGTGCTGCTGCTGGAATGGGGACCAGAGCAGCCACGATGAGCAAGCTTGCCACCACGTTGATGAAGCTGCCATTGCTGGGCCTTCTTGCTCGGCGTGCTTGCCAAGCCGACATGTCGCTGACTTGTGTTGGAGCAGCGAGCCAGCCCGAATCGTTGAACAAGACAAACCAAAGAAGAAGAGAAGAAGAACAGAGGAAGAAGCAGTACTGCGCACTTGGGCAGGACTGAAGGTGTGTCTGTGTCTTCCTTCCTGCTTCCTTGTTTGCGTCACCCGTTTCTTTTCTTCTTCACCTTCACCTTGTTCCTTTGATGCGGCCCGCCTCCCTCACATACGCACACACACACTCTCCCAACAACAAGCTGCTGCTGTGTTGTGGTGTTGTGTGGTTGGTCGGATTTGAATGGATGCTGGCAGCGTCAGTGGCGGGTGCGGCCGATGAATACCGAAAGATATCAATGAAAATTCTACAATAACCAAAAACAAAAAAGAAAATGGCCAACCAAACAAAACAATGCGTGGGATGGGTGTGGCGTTTGTGGCGTTTGTGGTGTGCCTGCAGGCACGGCAGGTGCGCATGCGTATTGAGTGTGTGTGTGTGTGCGTGCGTGCGTGCGTGCGTGTGTGTGTGTGTATACATGCGCGTGGTGTGTGTGTGTGTGTGTGTGTGCGCGTGTGCGTGTGTGTGCTTGTTTGCTTGTTTGCTTGTTTGCGCCTTGTCTGTTTTGTCTGCCGCCCACAGTGTCACGAGGAGCCAGAAGATGGCTGGGTGATGGCCAGCTTGTCCAGCGTATCTGCAATGTCCTCACGTCCCTGCGTGCGCGCCCTGTGGCAGACAAAAAAAAAAGTACATCATGCAGGATGAAGGCGAGATGAGGGTTGAAGGAAAGCACGTGCTGGTAAAGATGGATAGAGAACGACAGACAGCGGTGAAGAAGCAGGAGAAAAAGGACAGAGAGGTGGAAACAAGACAACGACAGGCACACAGACAAGACACCATGTACTTCGTCCACAAACACACCAACAAACAAACACACCAACAAACAAACACACCAACAAACAAACACACACACCAACAAACAAACACAAAAAATCCATGCGATACCTTTGGCTGGCAGTCGTTGGGCGGCCCGGCAAGTCGGCAGCAGGGTCGCTGTGTCCGCCGGTGTTCTGCAACAGCGTAACAATGGCCTGATGTACGTGTTGTTGTGAGCTTACAGTGAGGTCCACATGAACAAATAAACGGATCTACAATACGGTTCCCCAAAATACACACACGCACACAAGCACACACTCATGCACACACGCACACAAGCACACACTCACGCACACACGCACACATGCACGCACACATGTACACACACCTCGTGCTCCATCATGGCTGCGAGGTCGAGAGGCGTTGCGTCGCCCGTTTCCGGGTTGGTCACGTGCGTGTTTGCACCAGCCTTAAGCAGCATCTTCACCACGTCCTTGTTGCCCGTCGTCACGGCAGCATGCAGCGCGGTGTTGCCTGACGCAGCCCGTCTAGAGTGGGAAGGTGAGACAAGAGGCAGCAGGGAGGGGGGAACGCGTGTGAGTTGAAGATGCCATGCCATCGGCCCGGGAATTCTGGGTGCAACGCACATGCGCAACAAGAAACAGGCACATACAACTACGCGCGGATACACAGACACACACACACAGACACAGAAACACATCGACACAGACACACAGACACACACACACACACAGAAACACACACACACAGACACACAGACACAGACACACGCAGACACAGACACACACACACACACACGCAGACACACGTAGACACAGACACAGACACACACACGCGCGCGCGCGCGCCAAGACAACGTACGCGTCAATGTCAAAGTGGTGGGCGTTGTCGAGAAGAAAGGCAATGACATCAAGCTGCTGGTGAAGCACCGCCACAAACAGCAGCGTGCGGCCCAGCCCGTCGAGCGTGTCAAAGGACACCAGGTCGCGGGTGAGGTAGTAGTACAGCACGTCCGCGTGGCCATATTTGACGGCGCGAAACGCTTCGTCCACCGCGCCCTCGTACGTGCGCGCGCCAACAGCGGTGGTGGGCCGGACCGGAACGCCGCGTGCGTCCACGTGTCGGGATGACTGTGCGCGATCGCGCGCATTCCCCGGGCGTGGCTGGTCGCGTGCGTCACCACCGCCGCTGTCGCTGTGGGGGCTGTTGGCGTTGGCGTTTCCTGCGCTGTCTGAACCGCCTGTTGCATTGCTTGGGTCTTCAAACACATCATGCCTGTTCTCGTCATCATTACCATCGCCATCATTGCCGTCACCACTCTCGCGGCCACCACGCCCGCCGCTGCCACACCGCCCGCACGATGCAGTTCGCCCCCGCAGCACTCCTTCGCTCTCCTCGCCGTGATCGCGACCGTCAACACTCGCGCTCCGCTGCAGCAGCATTGCGGACGATGACGATGATGAAGATGCAGACGTGCCTGTTGCTGCGGAGCGCATGGCAGCCTTCTGTAGGGCAGCCCTCACCCGAGATGTGCTTGGGTGGCGCGGGGTGCCTGGCGGCGGCTTGGCCGGTGTTGACGTAGAGGATGGTGGGATGGGCGCCAGCGGCTTGTGCGGGTTGAGCGTGTACGTGCCTGGCTTTAGTACTGCGTCAGCATCAGGGCTGCCGAGAGCATCGTCGTCATCATCGTCTTCCCCGCCACCACCGCCGCCGCTGCTGTCGGATGAACTGCGCGCACTCGCCCGCTGCCCTACTGTTGCTGTTGCTGTTGCTGTTGCTGTTGCTGTTGCTGTTGTTGTGAGGGATGAGGCCGATGACGCAGAGGACGAGCGCATGGCGCGTGCAAGCTCTGGCCTGGTGCCTGTGGATGTGCCTGGGCGGGCAAATCCTTCGGCCACCTGCATGGTGGAGAGGTTGTGGAAGAAGCTGACGATGGCGTTCATGGTGGAGAGCAGGCAGAACCCGCGCATGCCCAGGAGACACTGGCGGTGCTTTGTGTCGTCTGTGCTGCACTTGATGGCGCTGAGGAGCTCCTGGTATGGCCGGCGCTGCCGCAGGGACTGCGGATTGACGGGCGCCGTTGCCGTTTGCGCGCAGCCAAGGATGTGAAGGAGGTCCAGGCAGCCCATGCCGCCGTCGGCGAAGAAGGCATCTGGGTACTCACTGAAGACGGCACGGCGCAGCTTGACCAGGTCACGCTCGTGCACCTGTCCCGCATCGACGCCGTCCTGCAGCGCCATGCGGAACTCGTCCAGAAGCAGCTGGCCCTCCATCTGCAGCAGCTCCTGCCTGTCCTTGTCGGGCATCTCCGACATCCAGAAGTGGGAGAAGAGGATGACGTTGTCGTCGGAGCTGTACCACTGGCGGAGGCGGGCTAGGTGCAGCTGGGTGCGCTGCAGCCACAGCGTGAGGTAGGAGGCGTCCAGGAAGCCAAGCACGTGGTCCAAATCAAAGCCTGCCGCGGGCGTCTTTGGGCGCGGGGTGTGTGTGAGAGGTGCCAGCGTCCGTTTTCTTCCGTACACAATCGGCGCCTGTCCAATCTGCATGAAAGTGAGTGAGCGTGTGTGTGTGTGTAGGTGTGTGTGTAGGTGTGTGTGTAGGTGTGTGTGTGTGTGTGTGTGGTGGGAGGAATCGGAGGTGGTGTGGGAGATTGGTGGGGTCACGTGTGCATCTGCTGATGCAATGGCAAGTACAACAAAGCTTCACACACACACATGCACACACACATATGCACACACACATGCACACAAAAGGGTTGAACTGACTTGTCGAAGTGGTGTCTTCTTGATACCACCCGCATCATAGCGGGAAGCACCCACCAATGATCTCAAGTCTCTGATGCTTGACATGCTGGCTGGTGAGAGCAAGCGTGTGTGCGTATGAGTGAGTGAGGGAGTGATGTGAGGGGCGAGCGAGGCTGGCTGTTGTCAGAGCCGTTGCTCGGATTTAGATTGTTGTTGGATCATTTGCACAAATCGTCCACAACCAACTCGACACAAACAACAAGCAAACAAGCAACAAGCAAGCAAGCAAGCAAGCTTCTCGCTGTTGTTGTCTCATTTCACACACATCACCATCACACCACGTCCATCTTCCATCACACCCCCCCTTCCTCAACACACACCACACATTTTTGTTGGTCCAGCATGTCGTCTGGATTTGTGTACGACTACATGGCGCACTACCGTGCGATTACGGCAAAGTTGAAGAAGAAGTTCTTGAGGCGGCCAAACACAGCCGAGGTGCGCGACAGCTACAAGGACCTGTGCGTCCAGCTGACCAAGGAATGCAACCACCCATACGCAGCCTTTGTGTGCCTGGCGCAGGCGCGGTGCGAGGAGGCGCTGGAAAACAAGCTTGGCGAAGCAGAGACGCTGACGCGCGCAGGCCAGTACTTCTTCAAGAGCGAAGCGGACAAGGCCATGACCTCGCGAGACTCGTTCGAGGAGGATCTGATGGACGCGCTGTACTGCTTCGACGCGGCAATCGACATGTATCTCCGGGAGGGCAAGAAGGCGCTAGCGGCCGCGCTGTGTGTGGAAACGTCCCGCTCGCTGGCGCTGCTGGGAAAGGAGGAGGAGTCCATCCCTTACGCGCTGAAGGCCGCGGATCTGGAGTCTGAGAGCCCGCTGGCGGCGATAGCTGCGCTCACCCGCGCGTCGCAGTACCAGATCAACCTGCTTCGGTTCGAGGCTGCGCTGGACTCGCTCTTCCGCGTGGTGGACGTGGTGCTGGCGACGTGCCACGTGCGCAACGACGACAGGACGTGCTCCACGGTGCCGGTGGACTGTTTCCTGCGCGCTGCGCGCGTGTGTCCGTCTGGCGTGTACCGCGCTACCATTGCGGACGCGGAGGTGCAGTGCCTGCTGCTGTTCTACCTGATCCACCCAGACCAGCGTGGTCGCTTTGCCGCCTTGCAGCTGCTGGCCCAGCGCTACGGGAGCGTGGAGCACTGCCCGCATGTGGCACATCTTGGGCAGACGCTTGTATTTCTGCTGCGCACGCTCGTGATGCTGCTGGAGTCGAATGGCGACCCGCAGGCGCTTGTGGATCTGCAGGGCGAGCTGTGGCCACTGCTCTCCGCAACACAGAACCAACTTCTCCACCACATTGTCCAACGCAGGCTCGAGAGATGACCACGGATGTATATGTGTATACGTGTGTGTGAGCTTGTGTGTGTGTGTGTGTGTGTGTGTGTGTGTGTGTGTGTGTGTGTGTGTGTGTGTGTGTGTGTGTGTGTGTGTGTGTGTGTGTGTGTGCGTGTGTCGCGTCAGCTTTTTGTGCTTTGTGGCACCGCAACTCACATTGGCATTCTGTTTGCTTGCTGGGATTAGCTGCGACTGTTGATTGTGTCTGCGCTTGTTGCATGCGCCTCTGCTGCGCTGTGCGACAAGCCAGAGGTCTCTTCCACCTACGCTGCCACAGGCGTGGACACCCAGTACAAACAGACCTCTTTCCTCGCACAGTTTACGGTTTCTTGCGACGGCGAAAAGTTCCAGGTTTGCGGCTGTGTTGTGTAGTATTTGTTGTGTTGTGGGTGGGTGTGGGTGGGTGTGGGTGTGCTTATGCGTGTGTACATGTGTGTGTGTGTGTGTGTGGTGTGTGTGTGTGTGTGTGCTTGCATACATGTGTGCGTGTACCTTTACTTGTGTGCCTTGACTTGTGTACTCCCACGTCGTCATCTGCATCTCAACCCCCGGGGGTTTGTTGTTTTGGCATGCAATGCATCATTCATTGTAGGACGAACTTGTGGCTCAGATTGGGAATGAATTCTACCCCGTTTCCTCTGACGACGAGGGCAACTACCAGGTGGGCAAGATTCCGCTGTTTTGTGTGTGAACAAGAACGCGTCGTGCATGTGTGGTGTGTGTGTGTGTTTTGTTCTTGTGTTCGTGTGCTCAGGTCTCTTTTGTCCATGTGTGCGCACATGGCTCGTGCTGCTTGCTTGCGCTTGTGCTTGCGCTTGGCTTTGCTTGTGTTTGTTGTTTGGGATCTGCTTCTGCTCACCTTGAAATTGCGCTTTTTTTTCTCTCTCTCTTTTTGATGTGGCAGGTGAGCTGGTATGTGCCACACCGTGTTGCCGTCTCTGGTGGCGAGACCGTCAAGATCTTCGACCAGGACAGCATCTCCCGCGCTCAGAAGGTGCGTCCTGTGTGCGTATGTGGTGGTGCGGGCGGGATACGTGTGGTGAGGTTTGTGGCGCGTGATGTGTGTATACGTGTCTGTGCGTCTGTGCTTGTGTGTGTGTGTGTCTGTGTGCGTCTGTGTGTGTGTGTGTGTGTGTGTGTGTGTGTGTGTGTGTGTGTGTGTGTGTGTGTGTGTAGTGTTTTGCGCGAATTTCTGCTGTGGCGTCAGTGCACATGTGCCTGTCTGACTCTCTCGTTTCTTTTCACGTGCGTGTTCTATGATGTCACGCTCACTCTCTCCGCCATGCTCTCTATCCAACCGCCACCTGAACTTGCTTCAACTTGCAGGCGCTTCGTGAGGGCGGCAGCACCGACGGCCTGGAGGCATTCACCGTCTCCAGCTCGTTCTCGGTAAGTGGATGCCGGTGGCGTGTTGCGCCTAAATGTTGTCACTTTTGTTTCTTGCGACCTGCCATCATGCGGCACACACACACACATACATACATACACACACACACATACATACATACATACACACACATACATACATACATACATACATACATACATACATACATACATACATACATACATACATACATACATACATACATACATACATACATACATACATACATACATACATACATACATACATACATACATACATACATACATACATACATACATACATACATACATACATACATACATACATACATACATACATACATACATACATACATACATACATACATACATACATACAAACAACACAAAACAAAACAAACAAACGACAAACGTGTAACACACCCACACTTACTCCATCACCACGCACACATACACACACAACCCCACCGCGATGCAGTCGCCCATTGATGTGCAGCTCCCGATTGCGCCCCAGTTCCTTGCCATGGCCGCCTTTGGTTACGCGGCTGTTGTCCTCTTCATGAAGACCAGGAACGTGCAATGAGCCCAACACACACACACACCGCCGCCATTGACACTGACGCTGCCCTGTGTGTGCTCGCACTGCTCTGTTTGTGTGAGCCTGCTTGTTTTTCGTGCCGTTGTTGTGTTGTTGCATTCACAGTGCGTGCATGCGTTTGTGGGTGTGCGTGCGTGCGTGCGTGCGTGCCGATTCAAACAGTACACCTGTCGCTTCTCTCTTCATATTTCGAGCGTAACAAGAGAGCCACAAAGGGAGGGGAGGTGGTGCCTTTACTGGCTGACTGTCTGACTGTCTGTCTGACTGTCTGTCTGACTGTCTGTCTGACTGACAACAGCAACACTGACTGCTTGCTGTTGAGCTAGTGAGTGGACAAAGCACGTATGTTTCAGACCGTGTGTGCGTGGGTGTGCTGCGCGACCATGTGTTGCTCAATTTGCAGCGTCTTCGTCGTGCCATGCCTGCTGCTGCGTGAGTGACTTGAAGCGTTCAGCCATCCCTGACGGGTTGGGAGAGTGGGAGAGGTTGGAGGAGAAGGATGAGAGAAGAGGTGAGGGAGGCATGGGGGCACTGGGGTTGACGCGAAAGACAATCCACCCTCTTCCAACCCTAAACCACACACATGCAAACACACAAGCTAACAACACCACGCAAGCACGTACGAACATTCAAACTGCCCTCCCTGCCGCACGTGCATACACGCACCTTGGTGGACTTTGACAATGTCGAGAAAGTCGTTGCGGTGGATGACGAGAACCTGCACAGTGGTGGCCGCTCGCAGCTCTTCTGTGGACGGCGCGTTCACCAGGAAGCTGTCAAACCCAAGCGCAGCAGCACCACGGTGCACGGAGAGAAGGGTGCCGTGCCGGTCGAGTGCATGCACGCAGCCGCTGTGCACGAGGAAGAGCTGTGTGCTCTGGTCACCAACGCCGATGAGAGAATCGCCAGGAAGAAAGAACTGCGGCCGGTACTTGCGGCAGAGCGCAGGCAGGAAGCCCGCGTCGGTGTCCTGAAAGAACGGGAGCTGTGCAGCGCAACGTAGGGTGGGGTGATGATGGTGAGGGGGTGTACGACAGTGTGGTGAGGGGAAGAAGTGTGCAATGAAAAACACAAGCAAGACGGAACAAACGACGTAACACACACACACACATGCACACACACACATGCACACACACATGCACACACACACATGCACACACACACATGCACACACACACACATGCACACATGCACGCACACATGCACACATGCACACACACATGCACACCCGCACACGTGCACACACACAACACACGTGCACACACACATGCACACGCACCTGCTGTAGGATGGGCTGGCAGATGATGAGAGCAACCTCCGTTTGCATTGTTGTCGGCAGATCCTCCATCAAGTGCGTAGTGTCGGTGGGAAGACCGCGGCGCCAACGCGCCTCAAAATGCTCCAGGCAGTGGGCAAGTGGACCCAACACGCCACGCAACTTGAGTGTTTCACGAACGGTCATCAACCGCTCCCGGCTCTGCACACGTTGGTAGTCTGCATTGGCCAGCGTGGAGGTGATGTTACCTGCAGTGGTGGTGGTGATGGCGGTGGGGGTGGTGGTGGTGGTTGGAATGTTATGTCGGCGCGTGTGCAATGTGTGCAGCGATCACAGGGATGACAGTTCGGCCAACGAACGGGTGACTGCATTGCACTCCAGCTGTACATCCACATATAAACACACATTTGCAGCACTCACCGAGCACGAATGCAAACAGGAGTTTGCCTGCAAGCATGAACAGCACCGCCGTGAGCTTCTCTGCGGTCGTGTGCGCGTGCAGATCGCCGTAGCCGGTGGTGGTGAAGGTGGCCATCGTCCAATACACGCTGTTGGTGTACACGGAGAACTGCAGCAGCCACACCAGGCAAGACGATACAAAAGTCACAGAGCGGCATGCACACGCACGCACACACGCACGCATACACACACGCGCACACATATTTGCACACAAATATGGTTCACCGAAATGAACGTGCATGTGAGTGAAACGCCGTGGAACGTGACCGCAAACGCCGTCGTCGACTGAGATACCATCCCGCATTGACACAGCAAGAGACACCACTGGCACCATGTCCATGCAAGCTGCGTTGCACGTCACTCACGCGAGAGAGGCTGGTTGCGTGCGGGAGCCAGGAGGAGGATGAGCATGTCACGTCGGGCCCGCACGTTGCAAGATGCCACGTACACGACATGAGATGAACTGCCAGCGCAATGTACGCCGTGAACTTGATCACACGCAGCACCAGCACAGACGCATCTGCAGTGTGGTGGGTGGGCAGGGTGTGTGTGTGTGTGTGTGTGTGTGTGTGTGTGTGTGTTGCATGTGTGTGTGTGTGTTGCATGTGTGTGTGTGTTGCGTGTGTGTTGCATGTGAGTAGAGAGGGTTAGCGGGAACTGACGCGAGCAAATATGACACGCGCACATGCAAGCCTGGCCAACCACAAGCTCAGCGCATGCCACATCTCATGTCTTCCAAACGAACCGAGCTCTGCCTCGCGAGCGGAGAAGAAGTGCATGGCGCGAAACAGGCGGCACACGCGCGTGAGCCGCAGGAGGGAAACGGCCGTAAACGCGTGGGGATGACGCGTGAAGAACAGCAGCACCTCAAAGGGCGTAAAGGACAGCAAGCCCAGCACCGTCCACCCAGCTCTGCGGGTTATGGTGGTGTTGCGACCAGTTGTGTGTGTGTGTGTGTGTGTGTGTGTGTGTGTGTGTGTGTGTGTGTGTGTGTGTGTGTGTGTGTGTGTGTGTGTGTGTGTGAGCGAGAGAGATGCGTGTCTCCGCAGCACAAACATCACAAAACGCACAGCTGTGGTCACACCAACAGAATACTTGCATCCATGCACACCTGGACACGACAGACACACACTCTCTCTCAATCACACTCACTCGCACACAACACACACACACACACACTCACTTACACATAACACACACAATCCACACTTCACACAGCTGTCGCTGCAAAACAACAGCCACTGCGTGCTCGTCTTACCTGTACACACCACGACACCACGCGTGCTTGCTGCCATTGTGCTGTGGTCGTGTGGGTGTGTTTGGTGTTTTCGGCGGAGCAGGAGTGTCTTTCTTTGCAGCGCGCTGTACTTCTGCTGCCTCCTGCTTCGTGCTCAGCTGTTTCGAGGCACTGGCTTTCCGACGTTGCCGCCAGCGTGCAAGGGCAATTGCCCAGCTCACGGGCTCAATTGCACCTGCGCAGCACATGAGAAGGAGCGATGTACGGTGCAATCAAACATGTAAGCTCTTGGGGTTTTGCATGTGCAACACCAAGACGAAATACCGTTGTACAACACGCACGCACTTACACACGCACTCACACTCACACTCGCACTCACACACGCACTCACACTCACACTCACACTTACACTCACACTCACACACGCACTCACACTCACACTCACACTTACACTCGCACTCACACTCGCACTCACACTCACACTCACATGACGTACCGAGTGCGATGGCAAGGGCGATGCTCTCGCGGTCAAAGACGGCGGTGTATGTGCTGGTGCACACGATGGCGAGGGCGGACATGAGATCGAGGACAAGAACGGCATCCCGCAACGAGAACGGCGGCGCAAATGCGCGGAGCAACCTGCAGCACGGTCGAGCAGGAAAAGGGGCAGTGGTGTGCACAAGGGTAAGCGTATCCTCTCGTCACATCAAACAAACAAGCAAACACACAAACACACATACACATACACATACACATACACATACACATACACATACACATACACATACACATGCACATGCACATACACGTACACGTACACACACACACAAACAAACAACTTGAGTTATCAAAAGTACTGCGCAACGTGCGTTGGTGGGGTGTTGGCGATGGCGGCTGCTGCGAGCACCGCTTGCTTCAGTGCGCGCGTGATCCGATATGCGAAACGCGACCGTGGGTGAGCACATCGTGTCCGGGCCGTCTCCTCCAACAGCAGCACAGGGTCCGCGTGATGCATTGGCAGCTGTCCACTTACAAGACCAACACCGCCATTGTTACCACTGTTGCTGTTGTTGATCGCGTGTGCACTCTCGTCTTCGCTGCTGAGCCCGGACGAGGACCACACCGACTCCAGGGACGGGTGGCGGACAATCACGCGGTTGGGCCGCGTCACGCTTCGAGGTGACGATGGTGGCTGCAGCTGCTGTAGTCGGGATGGTGGGTTGTGCTGCGGCTGCAGCTGCTGTTGATGTTGTAGTTGCTGTTGATGTTGTAGTTGCTGTTGGTGCTGCGGGTGTTGAGCAGGGGATGACGGTTGGTGAGTGGAAGGGCGGGCTGAGGCTGTTGTTGATGCTGATACTTGTGTGTTGGTGCCTGAAGCTGTTGTCTCGTTCGAGTCAGCACTGGCACGTGCTGCATTGCTCTTGCCGCTGTCACTGCTAGCTTTGCTACCTCGCTTCTCCTGCACCGCGCGAATGCGAGTGAGTTCCACCAGTCGTCAGCTTGTAGCCTCTCACTACAGCTTTTGCAACTTCAAGGCCCACGGTCACTGCTGGAACACACACACACACACACACGCACAAGCACACGCACACCCACTGTCTGCACACGCACGCACACTCAACACACGCTCAACCTACCTGTTCTTCGCGGCGTTTCTTGACGAGGTTGAAGCGTTCGTTCGCTTCCTCCTTCACCTGCGCGGCAATGTCTGGGAAGATCTGCAACACACAACGGGATTTGCGTGTGTTATGCATGTGTGTGCGTGCGTGCGTGCGTGCGTGTGTACAGTATGAAGGTGAAAACACAAGTTGGCAAACCACCACCCTTACTCGCAACGTACCAATAAGCCTTGAGATGCAACAAGCATGTTTGAATCACTATTCAGTGAAAAGCACACGAGGATACGTGTTACAGCGCTGTTGCACACACACACACACACACACACACACACACACACCTTCAGAACGTCATCAAAGTCCTGCCTGCTCAACACGAAGAGGTCACAGTCCGTCTGTGTGCGAATGGACGCTGTTCGCGGGCACGAAAACACGAGCGCAATTTCCCCTTGTTGTTGATGGCGTTGTTGTTGAGTGAGTCAGGAAGTACGTGCGTGCGTTTGTGTGTGGGTGTGCACGACACGCTGAAGCAAACAAGCAAACGAACAGATTGCCAGCCGAGCATAGCCTCTCTGAACTCGGCTTCGCAAAGGATGTATTCTTACCAAAGAACTCTCCGCCGTGCATGGAGGCAAACACTTTTGTGCCGTCTTCAGACACCACATCCACAGTTCCGCGGTGAATGAAATACATTTCGTCTCCAGGATCGCCCTGAGGGTATGTTGGTCCAACACCATCAGTGCAATAGTGTGAAAGGGTGTGGAAGGTGGAGGTGACGCCGTGGATGACACATGAAAGGGGGCAACGTGCATCGATGAGTGACGCTTGCGGTGCAAATACATACGCAATACAGGCACATGCCTCACACAGCGTGCACGCAACCACACACACGCACACACCTTGCGGACGATGTACTCGTGCTGTGCAAGCAGAAGCGGCTGCATGTGCTGCGATAGCATTCGCTTGAAGCCTTTGCTCTTGTTGGCAAACAATGGCACGCTCTCAATAGCATCCCTGTTGCGCGCAATGAAACGCATGTGAGCGATGCAACACTGCAAATCACAGATGCCTGTGTGTGTGTGTGTGTGTGTGTGTTTATGTGTGGGTGTTTATCGGTGTGTGTGTTTATCGGTGTGTGTGTGTGTGCCTGTGTGTGCACGCGCGCGTGTGTGTGTGTGCCTGTGCATGTGTGTGTGTGTGTGTTGAAAGCTACGACAACTTGTGGGGGGTCTTGCGAGTGTCAGATGTGCTTAAGAGGACCATCGCGATACAGGTCGGTCATGTGAAACACGGTGCTTACCGGTACACCTCAAACGCAATTTGTGATTTGAGATTCATCGGAAGGTTTCCAAAGAGGCTATTGACATTCATGCCCCTAGTGTATGTCGGTGTGGCAAAATCAGGGCGATAGCGTGGATGGGTACGTGCATGAGATCAGCATTGCACAAAACACGACGTGCAAATGCCCCCGTTTCACAATCACACAAACACAAACACACACGCGCAAACGCGCATGCAAACAGAGCGTCCACAAATACACGCATGGTGAACTGACTCACTTGTTCCTCTTCCACAGGTATTCGTAGTATTTCAGGATGCGCGAGAGAACAGAACGGTTCACGTCAAACTGGAGCAGCAGATTCCGTATGAACACCATCTGCATGTTGCACCATTGCGTGTGCGTGTGTGTGTGTGTGTATGTGTGCGTGCGTGTGTGTGTATGTGTGCGTGTGTGTATATGTGTGTGTGGTGGTTAGTGAGTGCTGTAGAGAAAGCCTGTGAGCGCAAAGTTCAGACAACGAAGCCCAACACAGTGTCAATGATGGTGGCGTGTGTTGCTGCTCACCTTCTCCCTGTATCGCGTCTTGAGAAAGTCTGCGTTTGCCAGCAGCGCAGCAATGCTCGCCACCATGTACCCAGACAACACCGTCCCCGACATCATCATCAGCATGCTGAACGCCATTTCCCCCTGGATTGATTGAACAGTTGCGTGCATGCGTCGTTGTGCGTCCGTGAGTGGGTGAGTGCATGTGAAGGAGCGTACTTGCCTGCATGTGCACTGTGCACGAAAAGCAGGTGCTTGCATGTTCACATGGGCACAATCATACCAGCGTTCACATTACACATAGTTCAGTGCCCATCAATGCAGGGTGCACAACGTACGGTGGTGCTCGCGTGGACATCGCCGTAGCCAACCGACGTGAGCGTGGCGGCTGCCCAGTACAGGCTCGTCGCATATGCGTCCGTGATGGAGTGGTTGCTGTTGTGCAGAAGGGCATGGGACGTGTGATGCACACAGCAATGAGAAAATACTCACCCTGGTGGAGATGCGTTGCAGGCTGGCACAAATCACACAAGTGAACACACAAGTGAACACACAAGTGAACACCCAAGCATGCGCAAACACATTTACACGCACACAAGCGAGCACACACAACACAGCACATAAAAAGTGTTGCATGCTGTATATTTGTACAAGAGCGATGCAAACCTGCTGAAATGGCCCCGCGCCCAGGATTGCGGCGAACAGCCCGTGTCAAAGCACCCAATGAGATACCAACTGCACGCCACAACGTGCAGCGCCAAGAGCGCCAGACACATGAACTTGAACTTGCGAACGGCTCCGACATCGATGGCGATGTTGCTCTCGCGCTTTCCGAAGAACAACATGACCTGGTGATGATGATGATGATGATGATGATAATGACGATGATGATGATGATGGTGATGGTGATGGTGGTGGTGGCGAGGATGCACGCGAAAAATGATTGGGTTTGGCGCGTGAGAACGTGGTCAGAACGCTTCGTAAACAAGGGCGAACGTGTGAGGAGGAGGTTCAAGAGAGGTCGAGACACGGGCGCATGCACACGAACGCGAGCACGCGAGCACACGAACAAAGATGAACAGACACATACTACGCGCGCCACCATGTCGGGGACATTCACGTCAATCCATCCAGCGTCACAGCACATTCACACACATACACACACACACACAACCTTGCTCCCACCACATGACTCACGCGGGCGAGGCGGAAGCAGCGATTGAGCCGCAGAAGGCAGAACACGGTGCTGGGAAAGGCAAAGGTGGCGAGACTGACAGTCTCCAAGGGGCACATACACACGGCATCCAACAACGCATATTGCCTAGTGGATCATATGACGGATGAAGTACCCGTTCGTCAGCATTTTTGCACAGCATCGCCCACACATGCGCACGGCGTGACATACCGTCACCATCATCCTTTCGAGCATCCACTCATTTGCTCATTGTCACAGACACACACACACACACATGCACACACCCGTGCACGCGTAGCATCGCAGGCAGGTGCTGTTGGAACGCACTTTAAGTAGTTGCGAAGCGTGCAAGCGGGATCGGAAACGACGATGCCATTGCTCGTGTAGAAGGCTGAAGCACCCGCATCATATCCACATTGGAAATACAATGTGAGCATGCGTGTAGCGAACAGGCGCGGAAGGAGAGAGAGTGTGTGTAAGAGAGTTGTGTGTGTATGAGAGAGTGTGAGTGTGTGTGTGTATGAGAGAGAGAGTGAGTGTGTATGTGTGCAAGCTACACAACGAATGACTCACATGCACGCAAATACAAACAATATCACGAAGCACAATCCGTCTTCGCTCGTTGCTGATCGTGCTGCATTGTTCAGTGCTCACTCACTCACTCACACACTCTCTCACACAAACACACACACACATTCACACACGTTCACTCACATTCACTCACATACTCTCTCTCACCCACCCACCCACCCACACACACACACACACACACACACTGACTCACCCACTCTCTCTCACCCACACACACCCACACACACACACTCTCTCTCGCTCACTCACCCAAGTGCATGCGCAGGTACGCATCCACAGCGTGAATTGCCTCTGTCAGGTAGAAGGCGATGTGCAGTGCGAGCGATTGTGGCGCAAACGCGGCCTGAAAAAACAACAACGCAATCTGTACCAAGGAAACTGCTTGCACAGCCTGAAGACCAAGCAAGTCGTGACGTGGGGTATGTGTGAGAAGGCAGACTGGCTGTGTATGCGTGTGCATGTGTGCTCAAGTCATGTGCCAGCGTGCATGTGCACTCGCATCGATACGCTGCGTTCATCTCACGCACCCACGCATCTTGCACACACGCTTCACCCTGTGTGCGAACAGTATCTTACAAAGTCCCATCGCTGCATGGCTGCGCTGCTTGGGCGAATAGCTGTTCGCATCATCAACAGCGGACGCCTGGCTGGTGATGATGTTGACGATGTTGATGATGTTGATGATGATGATGATGTTGTTGTTGTTGTTGTCGTCGTTGTTGTTGTTGTTGTACAGGAGGTTGGTGTCTTTGCATCATCGCCGTCACCTTCAATTACACTCGTGTTTGCCGCTGCTGATGGTTTGGCGGACATCTCTTCGTCTCGCTCAAGGCTAGCTCTTCCTTCCGACTGCCGCTGCTGCTGTTGTTGTTGTTGTTGTGGGTGTTGTTGTTGTTGTGGGTGTTTTTGACCTGTCTCATGTCTTTGTGGGCTTGCTGCGTGTGCTTCTGCTGCCGATGATGACTGCGCGTCACGATCGCTGCTGCTGCTGGCTGCGCTCTCGTTCACTGCGCGCTGAATGTCGTTTAGGAGCGCCTTGCACTGCACAAGTGACTTGACCTGAGGAAAAAAGTGAAGGTTGCGAACCGGCATGAGCAAGCACGCATGTACGTGTCCATATGTTTCATACATCCAACACACGCTCACACACTCACACGCACTCTCTCCTCACACACACTCTCTCTCTCAACGCCTCCCCCACCTGCTTGTGGAAGCCGCGGTTCTTGCGGAACATGGCCTGAATGTCCGTCCAGGCGAGCATGTACGCGTCCACGTGTGTTACGGCGACAACGGTGGCCAGGCGGGGACAGGCAAATAGCATTCCGTTCTCGCCAACATATGAACCACTCGACAGGCGGTGGACAACAGCACCAGAAGAGTTCAAGACCTAGCCATTCGCATGATGATGTCAGTTGTGTGTTGCAAAGGCAGCAGGGGCAGTGTGGACAGCACAAGCATTAGAAATGCGGACACTTCACTGTGCACGACACATCCAACATTGCAGCGTCACAAATCGCTCACCTCCACTGTCCCGCGCTGAATAAAATACATTTCCCTGCCCATGTCGCCCGCACGAATGATGGTCTGGCCAGGCAGGAACAGCTGGGGATGCAACGAATTGCACGCGATTGTCAACAGCTGTGGCCCGAGCATGGAGAAGAGCGGGTACGTCTCAATCAGTCCGCCAGCAATGTCCAGTCGTCTGGCATCACGCGCAGTTGTGTGCACGTGTGAACAGTGTGAGTTGGGGTGCATGTGTATACAATGTGAGTGGGGGTGCGAATGCACATACGTGATTGCATTTTGGAACAGTGCATTCAGCAGACACAAGACAGCGGCAGCAGTTACAACACTCGGTCGCGCAAACGCATGAGCAGCGTCCGCGTACAGCTCGTGGCCAAGCGAGTCTGGCACGACATTCAACAAGTCCCACGCGCTGAGGCCCTTGTCCTTTCGCCACCTGACGACAGTGCAGAGTACATTGTTATCGCATGAAACAACGGTGCAGGTACACACGTAACCACCACACACACACACACACACACACACACACACACACACACACACACACACACACACACACACACACACACACACACGCACGCATTCACAAAATTGCGCGCGTGCAAGCACGAGGACACTTGCCCCCCCCCTTCCCCCAACCTGCACGTCATGTAGTCCTTGACGGCAGAGCGAACAGCGGCAGAGACGTCGTGCTCGTCCATGTATCGCTGCATTGCATCCATGCGCTCGCGGTGCTGCACTTGCATCGAGTCAGCATTTGCCTGGCGGGGAGGGGGAGGGTGACGCATGTAATGCACAAACATATAAACGCGTGCGTACGTGTGTGAATGAGTGGATGAGGGAGTGAGTGAGTGAGTGAGTGAGTGAGTGAGTTAGCAGTGAGTGAGTGTACGTGCATGTCGTCGCATGTGTATGCCCGCAATGTGCATTCTGTTGAGAAACGCTTGCAAGAAACAGGTTGTGGTGATGAACAATGTGTGAACACCACCACGACGTCTGCGGCACCTTGATGGCGGCGACAAAGGCGAGGACAACACCAAAGCACAGCTGTCCCAGGATCATGACAATGGCCGAGAAGACGCGTTCGCCGGCAGAGAATGGGCGAATGTCGCCGTAACCCGTCGATGTCATTGTCGCAATCGCCCTGCCAGGTAGGGCGTAGTGTGGTGTGGTGTGGTGTGGGATGCATGTCAGTCTTCTTTGCTAATGGTCAGCAAAGGCTTGCCCTTGAAAACGGTATCCAAACACAAACGCAAGAGCACTTGCTTGTCGTACCAGTACATGCAGGCAATGTAGGCGCTAAAGGGCTCTGCTGTGGTCATGTTGCTTGCGCGCAACCAATTATATCCGCCGATGGCAATTGCGCTCCATCCACACGCACACGTGTGCACCACAAACTACAGCAGCATACACAACGAAACAGCGTCACAAATTCAGATGGCACACTTTGCAACGAGTGAAACACAGTGAACAGCTCCCATGAATACAATACACACACATGAACACATGTACAGACGCAAACACGCACATGAAGACGCAAACGCACACACGCATCAACACACAAAACAAACCCGTCAAACGCACACACACACACACACCACCACCACCACCACCACACGCACATCAACACAGACAACTCCCCCCCCCCGCCACCACGACACAGGCAGACACACTTCGCATACGCGCGCGGCGGGACTTACGAAGGTGAGGCCAGCAAGCTTGAGGGCGGGCAGGGTGTGGTTTCGCTGGAAGGATTCGGCCTCCAAGCGGGAGAGCAGTGACCAGGCCGTGTGCAGACGAAGAAGACGATTGAGGCGAACAGCAGCAACCACAGGCATCGGCAGGAACACACACCAGCACAGCAGGTCCCACGGTGCAAGGAGGATGGCTGGTATCCAGGCGTGGAGAAACGACGCCATGATTGCCGCAACGCGCGGTGCTGATGGTGCTGATGATGACGGTGACGTGCGTGCTGGTGTTTCGATTCCATGCTGCTGCTGTTGTTGCTGCTGGTGGTGGTGAACAGGGGTCGTGCAACCCATTGCACCTGAGGAAACAGCTATCGTCGTGTCTGCCACTGCTGGTGCTGGTGGTGGTGGCGCTGATGATGATGATGATGGTGATGATGACGGTGCTGTGTGCGACTGCAAGAGTGTCACCGGATAGCCGCCAGTGCGAATGGCGACGACAATTCCTTTGATCTCGCGCAGCAGCAGCGGCGCTTCCAGCGCATACGTAATGATCCACAGCGGAAGACTTGCGGGGGCAAAGGCCGCGTGATACAGCAGCAGGACGGAGTGAACTGCAATTATGATGACATCGCGCACGTACGCGTGTCGTGCACCTGCACCCGCACTCGCACCTGAGAGGGGCGCTGCGGTCGACGCTGTCGCTGTGGTGGTTGTCGACTTTGTTGAACACAATGAGAAGAGCGGAGATAGGAGACACCACAGACACGACTGCATCCAGCCACCGCGGCGGATATGCTGTGAACCGTTGAGAGACGAAGAAGCAAGAGATCCTCGTGTCCACCCATTGTGAATGCGTGCCCGCGTCACCCGCTCGTCATCACCACCATGAACACCGTCACCATCACGATCAACACCAGCGTTGCCAGCAGCAGTGTGCTGCTGCTTCTGACTGTTGCTGCCGTTGTTACTGTCGCCGTGGTGATGGCTGGCACTCGGGTCATTCGCGACGCTTTCACTTGAGGGCGAGCCCAGCACCAGCGACAGTTCCGGAATGTTGGGCGGAGGTGGTGGCGATGGCGGTGAGGTGTCCGTGTTGCTGTTGCTGCTGCGGCTGTTGCCGTGTAGGTTGTGTGTGGCGTGGGTCGTTGTGGTCGTGATATCATCCCTACCACGACCTGTGGCGATTGAAGTCGGCTGTTGCCATGCAGCTGCGGTTGCTTGGCGAGTCAAGGTGTGTCCTGCGTTGACGCTGTTGTTCTTGCTGCCGACGCGTGAAGTTGTCGCTGCTGCGTATGCCGCCGCCTCCCGCGCGTGATCTCGAACGGACGATTCCGCCTGCGCGTCCGCCAATCGCGACTTTGCGTTCGCCATCAGCCGCGCCATCAGCACCGGATACGGTTGCAGCGCCTGCAGTGCGTTTGTGTGTGTGTGTGCGAGAGAGAGTGTGTGTGTGTGCGTGTGTGCGTGTGTGTGCGTGTGTGTGCGTGCGAGTGTGTGTGTGTATTTGCAAGCGTGTGTGCACGTGCGTGTGTGGATGTGCGAGAGAGAGAGAGTGTGTGTGCGTGTGTGCGTGTGTGTGCGTGTGTGTGCGTGCGAGTGTGTGTGTGTATTTGCAAGCGTGTGTGCACGTGCGTGTGTGGATGTTTGTGCAAAACGCAAACAAGCAAGCCACGTGTCCACAGCTCGCACATTCACGTCGTCATGCACCAAGCAATGGCATCCATTCACCATAACATATACACACACGCGCAAACACACACACACACACAATGCCATCTCGATGCCCCCCACCACCTCACCTTCTTGAGCTTCTCCTGCGTGAGCACATAGAGATCGCACGGTGCCACAGCGACAATGTCAACACTCGACCGCAACGCTGCCAATATGTGCGCGAGAGAAAATGAATGGGTGAAGAGCGGTGAGAGAAGAAGGCGTTGTCACAAACGAAATCGTGCTGCTGAGCATGTGTTGACTGCCAGAGAGAGAGAGAGAGAGAGCGCGCCGTCATGAAAGACGCGAGACTGTGCTGGCATTCTCACTGTCGCACGTTTTGGAATGTAATTGTGCGTGTCTGTGTGTGCGCGTGTGCGCGCGCGTGTGTGTGTGCAGAGGGTTAATGGACGTATTACCAAGCAAGACGCCGGCTTCACCAAACGCGTCACCGGTGGAGAGAACCGCCTGCACAGCGCCCGTTTGACCTGACACACACATACGCACATACATTCACACATACGCACACGCACGTACACACAAACACATTCACACACGCACATACGCACGACATGCAATGAGATCATCAGCAAGATCACAAATCACAATCACAATCGCACGCACCACCAACAACAATCCAATCACCACTGCAGCCATGATCACCACCTCACCTCGCACGTGCAGCTGCCCGCTCTGGATGAGGAAGACGGCTGGCACGGTCTGCCCGCGCCTGAGGACGTATTCGTTTGGGAGAAAGAGCATTGGTGCCGCCTCCATGGCGATGCAGCGCACAATCGCAGGATCAAGATCCTTGAAGCTGTGCGTGTTTGTGTGTGTTTGTGTGTGTTTGTGTGTGTTTGTGTGTGTGTTTGTGTGTGTGTGTGTGTTTGTGTGTTTTTGTGTGTTGCGTGATGTGTTGTGTTGTGTTGCGTGTGTGTGTGACGTGTGGTGGCAAGGACGAGACGTGTGCATGACAAGTGAGTGGGTGAGAACGGGCATAATGTTCGCTTTCATTCACGATAGATGTACATCTGCAAGTCGAGGTGTTCCCACCTTGGCAGTCGCAACATGGCATCCTTCAGCGTTGTTTCGGCCACCTGAACCAGAGCAGGAACGAAGTGGCATGAGCGAACAGAACGTGCAGTCTACAAAGAAGACACATTGAAAAGCGACACAAGCGCACAACACAAGAGCACACACACACACACACACAATACACACACACAAACAATACACACAAGCAACACAGGCACACACACAAGCAACACACACACACAAGCAACACACGTGCACACACACATGCACACCTGGGCCTGGATACTGAGGGGCAGATCGGAGAACGAGACGGCCTGTGTGCGGCCGCCCTTGAAGCGCCAGAGATACTGCAAGTACGAGACCACGCGATGCTGCAGCTGCGGTTTCACGCGCTCCGCTTGCATCAGGTCGGTGATTGCCTGCACACGTGTCGAAGGCAGTGCACACAGGGTTTGCGTTCGAGCGTGTGTGTGTGTGTGTGTGCGTGTTATTATTGTGTGTGTGTGAGTGTGAGTGTGAGTGTGAGTGTGAGTGTGAGTGTGAGTGTGAGTGTGAGTGTGTGCATCGTGGTGGTGAAGCACACACGGTAGGGCATCACACAATCCTTCAGGTACAGCGAGGACAGCATACAGTGAAGCAAACCACCTCTCCCTTCGTTTCCTCCTGCCCTCGCCTTGCATGGCGACACGTCGTACCTGTGCAAGATGCTGGTATCGAACCCTGTGGGCGCCTGTGTTGCTGAACACGGATGCAAGACCACCAAAGAGGTATCCAAATGCAACAACACCTGACACAGCGACAGCGTGGCGTGAGCCCAAGGGGTTGTGGGCATGCACACATGATGTAAGAGACATAGAGCTGTGTCCACATGCCGATGTAAGAGACATAGAGCTGTGTCCACATGCCGAGCTGCGTGCACATGCCGAGCTGCGTGCACGTGCAACCATACTAAGCACACACACAACACACACACACACACACACAAACACACACAAATACACACACAACACACACAACACACACACACCACATGCTTGCAGACCTGTGAGCATGAGGATGATGGTGATCCATTTCTCGCCGACAAAGACGGGAAACACGTCGCCGTAACCCGTGGAGGTGGTGGTTGCCGCCACCCAATACAGCGCAAGCACGTAACTGCATGGCAACGAGGGCACGTGTGGCGTTTGATGCGGTTTGGAAGGGACGTGAGGGTGAGGCGGAAATGCGATTGTGAGGAACACTGATAGCACTCCAACGTTGGGTTGTGACGACACACAGCGCTGCCTCATGGCATGCACACACAAGCACACATGTAAACTCTCACACACACACAAACACACACACACAAACACAAACACAAACACAAACACAAGCATAACTCGCACGCATGCACACACACAGACACACAAACACACAAACACGTACACAAACACACATTCTCTCTCTCATTCACATTCATACGCAAGCATGCACTGACTCTGATGATGAGGAGTTTGTGGCTGCGAGGTGTGCCGACCACGTCCAACCCGAGGCATCACATCCGCGCTCACCGCACCCTTTTGGGGGGCGTGGTTGTACAATGTGGTGATGGGGGCAGGGGGCGGTTGTGGTGGCGATATGGGGGAGCGAAACGAAGGTAATATGAGGCACGATGCATGATGAGGACACAAGAGGCAACGGAAGTAGAATGCGTTCATTCATATGTTTACATTGAGCAGGAGCACGTGCAAGCAAGCTGGGACACGTACCGAAGAAGACCCATGCACACGGAACGAGATGCTGCATAGCCAGCATGAGCGCAATAAACTTGATGGCCAACATCTGTCGAGCAGCAGCAACACGGTGAGCGTTATCCTGGATGCAATTCGGGGTGAAGCTCACAATACAATCCTTCCCACGTACACGCACACAACGCAGTCTTTCATGATGCGAATACCCGCGTGCACTCCACGCAAGCAACAAACAACACACACGCACGCACACACGCACACGCACACACACACACACGCACACACACATACACATACACGCATACACGCACACACACATACACACACACGCGCGCGCACGCACGCACACACACACACACGCATACACGCACGCACGCACACACACACGCACGCATATACACACACACGAGCAACAGACCCAACGCACATGTACACGACTGTCACCACCACCACCACCACCGCCACCGCGAAACGCACGTGCATGTAGGAGAGGCCGATGCGTTCAAACTGCATGCGCGCGTATTGCCAAAGAAACGCAGCGCGCAGGAGGCGGTTGAGGCGATAAAAGCGAGCGAGGTGTGCAGAGTCGCCTGATTGGAACACGAGATCCACAGGCAGGGAGCTGAGGACAATGAGGGCGATGGCAACGCGAGGAGAGAGGCACGATGGTGTTTGACGCCAGCGCCCGCTGTCATCCTCTGCCTGTATGTCACTGTCATCCTGCTGTTGCAATTGTTGTTGCTGCATTTCCTGCTGCTGCTGTTGCTGCTGCTGTTGCAACTGCTCTGTGGAGGTTGCCCACGCCAGGTGCTGGCGCTGTGGGTGCTGCCGAAGCGACCCAGTGGCCGTTTCTGCATCGCCGCTGAAGGCGTCTGCAGGTGCAAAACGGTGCGACGCTTGTTGTTGTTGCTGCTGCTGCTGCTGGTGCTGGCTGTGGTGGTGATTATGGTGGTGCAGTGGGTACTGTGCTTGGGCCAAGTTCGGGTGTGGGGCGATGCGACGTGGTGGGCGAGGGCTGAACAAGTGGCACAGGCGGAGCAGCACATGCCTGGACTGACTGCAGCATGTGGAAACTAGCACGGGGCTGTGCCAGAGAAGGAACAGCACGTCCACAACATAGAAGAGGGCCAAGGCCTCTGTTGCCTCGTGCGTGTACGACAGCAACCGAGGGCTTTTTCGCTCTTCGTCATAGGGCTGATCAAAGGTGACTTGAAATGCCGTGAGAATGACGCTGACAAATGACAGCACTGCCGTGCATGTGGACGCCCATAATGGTGCCTGGTGTTGCCGCCGCGACAGCCTGTTTAGCCCATGCTGCACTTGGCCCAGCGCTGCACCCGTTGCTGCTGGCGCTGCTGGTGCTGGCACTGTTGTCGCTGTCGCATGCGGTGATTGCGATGAACGTTGTTCCATCTCACCTCATCCTCCACACACGAAAAAAGACGTGAGCGTGCGCGAAGGGCAGGAGCGGGTGTGTGTATGCGTGTGTGCGTGTAAATGTGTGTGTGGGTGTGGGTGTATTTGTGTTTGTATGTATATGCGTGTGTATGTGTTTGTGTATGCGGGGGGGTGTGTTCGTTTGTGCCCTTGCACGTGCTGTTGAGTTGCTGCTTGTGAATGTGGTTGTATCTGCAGCCTCTTCTTCTCCTTGTTCCTGCTGCTTCTCCTCCTTCTGTTTGCCTTGTGCTCCTGATTTTCTTCTCTCCTTCTTTGCCTTCTCCTTATGCTGCTGCTGCTGCTGCTGCTGCTGCTGCTGCTGCTGCTGCTTTTCTCGCTCTTATTCCTCGTTGGTCGGTGTGTCTTCGCTTCAAGCGCTATTCGTATCCATGGATTCACACTGCACGCCAACGAAACCCCAGCCTCGCATCAATGTGGCCACCACCACCTCCAGCAGCACCACCGCCAGCAGCACCACAGCAGCAGCACACGCCTGCTGCAGTTCGGAATCGTGGCGGCACCAGTCCTGCGTCCACTACAGTTTGTGCTGCCGCAGACTGTTATTTTGCCCTCCCTCCAAAATCCACCACCACGCAACGCGCACAATCCCTTACAACCACGCCACAACACAACAACAACAACCACGCCACAAACACCACCGCTTCCCCCTTCTTGCTTGCTTGCGCTTGCTTGCTCCCTGCGCCTTGTTTCACCAACTCACCAACCCCCCCCCTTCTTCTCTCTCTCCCTCCCGAGATGATAAAGGTGGTCGTGTTGATGGCCGCTGTGGCTGTGGTTGCAGTGGCAGCGATGCTGCCTGCTGCGTGCAGTGGCCTTGGATCAGAGGCCACGCAGCCGGAGCAGGTGCACATTGCACTGGCAGGCCTCGATGCAAAGGGCAACCCAAATGGCATGGCTGTGTCGTGGCAGACGCACACGCGCACGGCCACGTCCGTGGTCCGATATGGCCTCAACAGCACGGCGCTGACCATGCACGCCACGGGCAACTGCTCCTCCTACTACGCCACCTTCGACCACCACGTCGTGCTGCACAACCTGCTGCCCAAGACCCGCTACTACTACCAGGTCGGCGACGCCACTGGCGGCTGGAGCAAGGTGTTCTCGTTTGTGAGCGCCCCGCTCTCGTCCCGCGACATGCCCATCAACTTTGCCGTGTGGGGCGACCTCGGCGTCGTCAACGGCGACTCCACGCTGGCCTTCCTCAACAACATCAAGGACAACATCGACCTCATGTGGCACGCGGGCGACATTGCATACGCCGACGACACGTTCATCCACCTCACGTGCGCCACCAAGTTCTGCTACGAGGACATCTGGAACGAGTACATGAACCTAATGCAGCCACTCGCCTCTGGCATGCCATACATGACCACCCCGGGCAACCACGAGGCCGAGTGCCACAGCCCGGCGTGCCTGCTGTCCTCGGAGCGGCGGGAGGCCCTGCGCAACTTCACCGCCTACAACCACCGCTTCCGCATGCCCAGCCCGGAGAGCGGCGGCGTCCTCAACATGTGGCACTCGTTCAACTACGGGCCCGTGCACTTTGTCTCGCTCGACACGGAGACCGCGTTCCCGCTCGCCCCTGAGGAGCACATGTACGTGCTGCCGTGCGGCGGGTTTGGCGACATGCTCACGTGGCTGGAGCAGGACCTGATTGAGGCGAACAAGCACCGCGACGAGCGGCCGTGGATCCTGGCGGCGTCGCACCACCCAATGTACTTTGGCGGGAACATCAACGAGCCCTTCCAGAAGGCCATCGAGGACCTCTTCCACAAGTACAACGTGGACATGTACTTTGCCGGGCACAAGCACTCGTACGAGCGCGACTACCCCGTGTACAAGGGCGTGCCGCAGCCCACGTACTACAACCCCAACTCGACCGTGTACATCACCGTTGGCGGCGCAGGCAACGACGAGATGGAGGGCGACCAGGTGGAGCGCAACAACCAGAACGACGTCATCACGCGCGCAGACGAGTCGGATATGTGGCAGAGCAACCCGAACGAGGGCGTGGCGGTGAAGAAGGACAACGGGTACTACGGTATCGGCGTTGTGCACGTGCTCAACTCCACTGCGCTGCACTTTGAATACTACCGCACCACCCTGCAGGAGAAG